TATCTGGGACTGTCTCGAAGTGTTCAGGGTCACGCGCGACGAGGGCACCCTTCTTCAGCTCGGGGAGAATGTCGACGAGATCATGCTCGTTCGCAAACTCTTCCACATCGCGAATAACCTGAGAAGGAGTCAAGTCCGCCAGAGGATTCTTGATCCTACACGAGAAATTGGTCAATGATCCGGCGCCAGAGGAGACGACGCGTGAGGCAACAGCAGATCGTGAGGGGTAGACTCGAGGTCGCCGAGACTCGACACTTACTTGGCAGAGAGATTCTTGTTCAGATTGATGTGCTCGTGATGGCCGGTTTCGAGCATTCCATTGTCGTCACTGATGCTGTCGTCACGAAAGTCGATGTCAGCCAGGAGTCACAAGCTGGGCTGTATAGAAGCTGGGGCTCAGGGAAAACCTACCGTTGCTCGACAGGCGCATCAGCGGTTGCGATATGAGCAATCTCCTGCTTTGGGCCTCCGTCTGCCATGGCAAACTGAGACTATGAGAAGGAGCTTGTTGTTGCTTGTGTTTTATTGTGTGAGTCTTCTTTCTTCTTTCGAATTGGAAGAGTTGGACCTGTAGCTCAGGGGATGCGGAGGAAGAAGAGAAGGAAGGTGCGGGGAGGCAGGAAAGAAATAGTAGATGGAAAAATAATAATAAAAATGTGGAAAATAAAAAAATAGAAGAATATTACCATATTCACAAGACAGTTCAAAGAAAAAGAAAATAAAAAAGAAGGCTGAATCCACCAGGAAGATCAAAGACTGAATGTTCACAAGCGCCTATCCAATGGCGTCACTACCAGATTCACTTTACGCCTGGGCAATTCACGACTGCATGCATCTTCCTCCTGTCAGATATACAGAAAGTACCCACTTCTCCTATTGGTCCTCAAGGGCCGAAGATTGTACACTATCCTGGAGGTATTATGCGGCCTAGAGTCAGTGGCTGCTCGTTGAAGAGCCATTGCCGCGACTAACTCCTTCGCTTGAGAGTCTACTCAGTAGTATCAATGTTTTTACAACAGTCTAACACTATCAGGATATCATCTGTTCACCGGGAAAAGCCTGAGCTTCAAGGCCTGAGCGACACCGGTTGTTCCCTTGGCGTTGGACGATCAAGGACAAGATGTACGAGGAGGGACCGAAGACAACAAGCGAGTGTCCGAAAGCAGAAATCTTCTGGGTAAAGTCTAAATTATTCCATCTCTTTTCATTACGGTCATAAAGTCTGGCGATGACTAGTGGCTGCCTCCGTGTCGTAAAGACGTGCCCAAAGAATGCTCCAATTCTTCCCGTCAACCACGCGAATTGAGTGTGCCAAGGTGGAACCCCCCACGGATCCGAGGTCTGCGTTAAGACATAGTCTAATCCGGAGGTTTACTCATCAGGATAATGCGGAGTGCAAGGCTGCTGTGAGTCTGTGGGTAATGCTGTCTCCGTCAGGCTTCGACAAACAAAGTTGAAGGAAGTTTCTCCTGCATGGTCATCCCTTGAGTGACCATGTGTCTGGAGCCTATATTCTACCACAGCTATCAGGAGATTCAGCGATTATCCGTGCTATGATCGATAGACGTCAGAGAGCTGAAACACCAAGACATTCCCAGCTGCCGGTCTTCGTCAAATTGAGCCTTGTTCTCGTTCTCAGCCCCGCTTCCACCCCATACGGGATCCCGTGTCATACCATTATTCTTTCCAGGCAGGCTGGAGGTGTCGCTGAGCCGATTGCCCGCTGTCTCAACTTCTCAACACTAAATGCACGAGCCAATCTTGAGAAAGCAAAAACGCCACTCTTGTTACTCGAGGGAATATCCTTGCCCGGAATTGCCAGGACTGGACAAGATCCTGGACGTTTGACCAAGCGTTTATTCGCTACTCTTGGCCGGTTCCCGGTCCCGCCCATGGCTAGTACATAAAGCTAAGCCAAGGACAGTCAAGTGCGTTGGTCTAATGAGCCCATCTTGGCGGCCGATGTGACTTTGGGGAAGTCACGGACTCTCAGTCACGGAGTCACCGCCCAAACGCCCCAAACCCCCAGCCTGAGAGCTTAAGCAAATAAGAAGATTGTGGTGGGCGCTGGTGGGGTCGGCCTGAGGCTTTGTTCAGACAGCAGGTTGCAACCCTCCTCTTTCGGGACATTATTAAGATTAGGATCCCTGGATCTCTGTCCGCGTGGTCATGTTATTCCTTGGTAGATGCAATCCCTGACTCTACTCTGCTGCACAAAGGTTTGATCTTTGACTCAGTACAACGTACACCGAAAAGTCGGCTCAGAGTCTGGGACAGTGTAACCCGAGAGACGAACTCCAGATCAGGAACCCGGAGAAAATCTGGGGAGTAAACCAGATAATGCTTTGGGTTTAGTCTCTCTCATCTAGTACCCGCACATTCCAACGAGCACATGGTCATCTGCCCCCTTGCTGACCTTCCCCCTCTGGAATGTGGATAGGCTGAAAGAGACATTTTATTTTGAACCCCACCTGGGGACAACTACCGACTCAAACGGACATCGCCGTCGCATTACCCTGATTGTGAATTCACAATCTCATGATTCATGGCCAAGAAGCCACCTTGGAAGAATGAGATCTGAACACGTTCTAACTGAGTTTTCAATCAAATTTACATGCAGTCTGCAAATCTTGCTGAGAGTGAGCTTTGAATTTACAAAGCTCATCAAATGCTACAGAGTACTCTGAATAAGAATAATAATCATGATTATCAAAGAGGCTCGAGTGTACCAGGCAATGAGGTTACAGCGCTTCTGTCCTCCGGCTTTTGGATACGGTCTGGCTGGCCGATGGAATTGACTCAACGCCATGTGGGGAATGTTCCCCCGTTTGCTTTTGCCTGGCCTGGTCTGGTGGCTGGTGATCGCCAATCTCTCATTAAACTTTTCCCATATTTTCCATTTTTTGTTTTCATTTTCGCCCATACTTCACAATCTGGAGAATTCCGGTTAGTCCCTTTGTTCTGCTGTTTGCAGCTGATGAGAGATTCCAACAACCCAGATCAGTGAATTCAGGACATATCGGTTCCCACAGTGGCGAAAAACCTACGAGACACTCATCCAGAAAGTGAGGCTTAAGCCATATGTTTCCTGTCTGTATGGATTGCCAAGATGGCAACTTTGAAATTGCTTTTCAGAGCTTCGGTTAGATGCCCCAATAACCATGCCCAAAGCCCCGGCCGGGATGTGGTACAGAAACCGAGCCCCGTTTCCCCAGGCAGCATTGAGGTTTCAATGCTACACAATCTCAGCCGAAAACTTTGAGATGAACCCGAACACGACATATCCCGATATCTCGCCCGAGTCACGTTGAACAGCCGGGTCAGACCGTGGCTAAGGTCGCACACGAGGAACTCGAGGCTAGTAAAAGAAAGATAAATGTACTCTGAGTCAGATGCCTGCAATACTTACCAGGGTCAGGTTGCTTGCTGATCCTTCTGATACGGATTGTATGGTGCATTGCAAACCTTGCGTACTACTTAGCTGTAGCCTGTAGCATTTTCTGGACCTTTGACTGAACTGCGGCTTAAGAGGTCAAGCAAGCTCAATGGTCGATATCTATGCCTAATAAGTCTCTTTTGGGAGTAATATGTCGGGGTTTGCTTCCGAGTCGAGGTTGCCGAACTCGACAATGACGATCGTAACATTCTTTAATCTGAAGATCCGGCCTGAAGCTTTCCAGTCTCGATTCTCGAAGTTCAGTAGATCCCTTCTAAAAACAGGTTATTCGGAGCTCGACTTCAAGATTTCCGATTATCTATGCGCACCTGGTTTACTAGATCTCAGGTCTATGCATCCTACCCTCACTGATATCCAGTGATAATGACCCAAGCTCATCTCTGGACAATATATTAATTGATTCTATCTCTTTTTCTGGAGCTTTATGAGACTCCCTTGTGATTCGTAAGGCCAAACGGTTGACGACCATGCCCATAACAACGTTCATGCAGTCATATTTATTCAACTGCTTCACAGCATAGATATTTAGCCGGGAAGGGTGCTGGTGATTAGGAATGGATCTCAGCTGGGCACGTCCTATATACATTGAAGCTAGGGTATTTTTTGCCGCTATGCCCTTTCCCTCGAGTAATTGTTGTTGTAATGACATAGAGCTCCCAGAAGTGCAGTATTCACAATCTTGGCGCATTCGAGGTTCATCCATCCGACACTTGTTCAATATCCGATTCATATACAATAATGTTACATCGTTTACTTTCTCCAGCGACTAGTTCGCTAGGAAAGGCCGAAGCGTGCAAGGATTCGAAAAAGGGGAATCGAGAACGATGGTACTCTATAGGCACGTTTTATGCTTCATAGTGGCTCAACTACCTTCTGCATTGTTGCTCTCCTTTGAGGTATGATTAATGACCGGCTTACGCAGCATTCGACATCACTCGTGCTGTGGATCAAGCATTCTTCATCCTTTACATCTACTAACAGACGGAGACTTGTATAGAGGATGTTCGAGGCGGATTCTTTTTAAAAAGCACCCTTCCACACCGCGCAATACAGACAACCAGTCTTGTCCTCAAAGTCGACGGCAAATATGGGACTCCTCAGCGCTATTACAGCGACCCTCCTCGCACTTCCTGGCGCTTTGGGCCAGATGTGTGGGGGACAAGGATTAGGGAGTTGTCAATTTGTCATGAAGAGTGCAGCATCCATTGATGGCAAAGTGCTACAAATGACTGAGCGTCGCCTAAAACGTGCAGTGGAAAATCCTACACGCGTATAGGTCGTGGCCGTTCTGTACTCATGGCCTCATCATCTCGTGGAGGATCTTAGTTCTCCATAACTAATTACTTGATCAGGCTAGACCTTCCCCGTGCTGCATATCACGTGCAGCGGTTAGACATCCATTCAGATTTCCGAGACGCATGAGAGATATCTCAACTCCGAATAAGCTCAACCTCCATATATCATGTTATTATCAGTCTACTGTTAACTATAGGGCAAAATGCACAGATTATAATTGTCTTAAAATGTATTCCACCCAATCCGACCCCCTTTTGTGGAAGATCTCCTGCGCTCCGGAAAACCATTTGTCCCCTTTTCCGAGTTCTCGGTTCTTGACATCTGTGACCTAAGTCACAAAGAAGCCAATGACTGGCTGGAACGCAGGTTGCAAGAGGAAAAGCCGTTTATTATTCATGGCTTTGACAAGCTCGACAACTGGGACAAGCGCATTTTGAGCAGCAAGAGCCTGGTAGACCTGTCTTCCTCGGGATGTATGTCAACAATCGAACATCACTACTTTGATAATGAGTTGCTTACCTGGACTCATTGCTTGTAGCAATACCTGTGAGGAACTGTCAGACGGGACGAGATGTGCGTATGAAGCTTGCAGATCTCTTCCAGTTTCAGACGGACCATACGCGAAGTAACAATATCCGAGAATCGTATGTCGGCCGACCAGCTTCTCGATACGCCAAAATATTCTAGCTGATAGCCTATTCAGTTTATATGCAAAAGATCTTCAGTGTCCGGAGGAGTGGGTTAAAGCTTTGAAAGCCGTTTTACCATCGTCCTTGCAGCACTTGGGTTCTTTGGACTTGTTCCGAGTATTGCCCCGAGAAATTGCACCAGAGGTCTTGATGGCGTATGTCGGAACCCAGGGGTCTTTGTATGTGATCCTCTCGAATGCTGTATACGATGCGTGACTGACGCACCGACTGTATCTCTACAGTTCCGGCTTTCATAGATGCTTTAGCGGGTCAGTTGCTCTCAATCTCGTGATTGAATCCAAAGGTAAATGACTCGGAATCCGTTATCGGGCCATTTGAAAGGACAAACTAACTATCCAAAAGACCGTCGGTCAGGATCAATCTGCTTCGGTACTGACAGACAATCGCAAACAAACTATGACGCTTACATGGAGGAATTGGGAAAGTCATCGCATACCGACTGGGCCAATATTTCGATCGCGCAGCTACGATCAGCCAACTTTCCCATCTACGTTACCTATCAAGAACCTGGCGATCTGATTGTCTATCCATCAGCAACTTCGCACCAAGTTTGGAACGTTGGTCCAATGGTTACCAGGGTCGTTTGGAATGTCATGCATACGTCTTCCATGGCATCCTTCTTTGATTACATCCAACCCGCGTATCAAAGGCAATGCCACACCGACACCGGCCGAGTCCCATTGATCCCGCTACATGCACTTAGGGACCCTACTGCCCTTAGCGCAAAGGAGCTGAAACTCCTTTTGGAGACCTTCGAGCGACTGGTCGACGATGATGACGCGGGGTCAAATGTACCCGTAAAGCTTGTGGATACTCAAGGTGCCGTGGTGGAATGTAATTATTGTGGACTAACTATCTGGAATCGGCATTTGCATTGTGAGCAGTGCGGGGACTTCGACCTGTGCTTGCCTTGCTTTGTCTCTGGGCGAAGTTGCAAACATATTACGGACTATACCTGGGCGGAACTGATTCCCAGAGAAGATTGCCAAGCGCTAATAGACGCAACCCGAAAGGACACTGATTTTCTATCCTCTTCAAATCCCAGAATAGCAGAGTAAGTATTATGACTTTAAAATCCGTACTCTCTGATCTCGGTTGAGAGCTTTCTCAGCGTGCTTCAAAGTTCCCACAAAGCTGACCAGTCATTCATAGGCAGAAATCACTGGGTCTTTTGGCTAGAGCTGCGGCAGATGCTCGACGACAGTCTATGGTAAGTACGACCCCGTTTTAACAAATTTGATCTCAACAATTGACTCTTGCCAGGAACGGCTTTGCCATCTGTGCCGAGACAATCATACAGTGTGGAAAGGCATCACATGCTCCCAGTGCTCTGCGTTCTTCTGCTTCCGTGGCCTATACAGACATTTTGATATTGACATCATTCCTTTGCTCCGAAGAGAGGGTCCGTGGGTGTGCCCCAAATGCTCTCAACTGTGCAACTGCAGATGTTGTCACTTTGCTCGGCCACACCAGAGTAAAGAAAAACCGGTCAGAGCCCGCATCAAGCCCGCTGACCCCCGAGGCCGTATCATGGGCTTTGTGGACAATGTGTTCGATCAGAAGAGAGGAAAGAGAGCCAGTACAGGCCCACAAATGACGCCTTCGCAGACGGCTGTCTCTCTGCAAGGGCGGAAACGTCTTAGATCAAACAGCAGCGAAGGCTTTGAGCAAGGACTGCTGGATCGCAGCAGGTTTTCTTCTACGGAGGACACTCAACTGCCCGGCATCGTGAGATCAGAATCGGACGACTTACGGAGCAGAGACACTGCTCGACCAAATATCCATCTCACCAAAGTGCATACTGATGTGAACCATTGGCCTAAAGCACAGCTACGAATTTGTGACCTGGTCGAGAGCCGGGCTGAGAGTGCGGCGGCTGAAGGAAACTCTCGCAATCATGCCACACAGTACCAACCTGCTGCACTTCTTGAGATACCAAACCGGCGTGATCACCCTTCAAGAGAAGACAACTATTCCCCCTCATCGACCTCCACATCCACAGGTGAAGAGAGCATTCCTGTTTTGGAGAAGAGACTGGAGGCTCTTCGTCGCTATGCGGATGATCTTCTCGAGCTCTCTTTGGTGGAATCGCATGCTAAACTGCTTGAGAAGATCATTACATATGAAACTCAGATTGAGCAGATCAGGAGGCAAAAGGCCGAAAAACTCTTCAGTAATTTGAATCGGGATTTCCCCGATCTGGCCAACGTAGCCATGGAAGAGGCGCGACGGCGAGGACTATGAATTGCATACCATTATTATGGAATACCTGACTTCGCAATAGTGAAAATAACGTGAGCGCACCAAATAATCGACCTCACTGCAAAATCATGATTGTGGATGTGGAAAAACAACGAATGTATTTGTACATATCGCACAGTCAGCTCGCCTAAACGATGACTGGCACTATATACTGGTTGAATAGCCACACACTTGGTAAAGATGGGTAGATGAAACAAGCTGACCTTTGGCTTTAATACATAAATGATAGAAAGTCCATTGACACCTTGTTGGTTTAATGATCAGACCGTGAGATGGGCATCTCAGCTCAGCCCACTCAACGAGGCTAACGCTCCTCCCCACCTCTGCAAGCGTGCGAGCTGACATTCTCAAGAACCTACATAAATACACAGTGTTCCTTGAAAAACTTATCATAAAGCAATTCAGTTACGTAATATTTCAGGATGGATCCCATAGCGGCTACCCAGTTGGCAGCAGATGTAGCAGGCATCTTCCTGAAAATCGTGAACACCGTTAAGGACGTTATCGAGACAATGAAGGGCGCCAAAGAGGCGCTCATCGAGCTGCTGAGTCGCTGCGAAAGGGTCCGCTTGTATCTCGAGCTGTTTCGCTCTCTCACCAGCCGGTTATCCAACCCAGTTGAAAAATCTATATCATTATCTTTCAATGATAGTGCGTACCGCCAGACAGCCGATGAGATCCTGGGGTTTGTTCACAAGATCGGGGATGCCTCGAAGCACTCCGAGATCTGGATGAAGTTCAGCTGGGTTTTCTACAAGGGTGATGTCACCGCGTTGGTCGGGAAGCTTGAGGCCCGCGAGAAGGACCTCAACCTTGTCCTGACTTTCATTGCAGCGTATGAGTCCTCAAAAACAGGCCCGAGTTTGTCTGAAGCTGACGCGGGCGCGACAGTCAGTCCAGTGTGGTAACTGAGAAAGAGATCATTACGATGAAGGGCCGTGCTGAAGAATGGGCACAAATCACTGAAGCTTTCGGCACGGCGCATTTGGGTCAAGACAGTAATGAGTCGGTCGTGAAATACTCTTCCGGGCAAGGGAAGAAGGGACATGGTTCTCACAATGGATCGGGATCGCACAACGATGGAAAGCAAGTGTCCAGCAATGTGATACCAAGTCAACCTTCTTCCAACTCAACGAAGCCAGCTCTGTGGCTTGGAAACGTCGTCAGGACAGGATTGGACCCGACATATCTCAGAGAGAGAGCTCGGCTGTCCGATGCAGCATATTGGGGAGATTGGCATCAGTTGTTATCTTCACTGGACACAGGGAGACGCCGCTTTGGCGAGTCATGGTGCAATTCTTTTACTCTAAGTATGTGACTAGCGGAGTGAATTGAGTGACAGCTGCTTAATTCTGGACAGGATCGGAAGACGATTGGCACCGACTGAGCCTATGGACTCCTTTGCACCAGGCGGCGTATATGAATGCGCCGAAAAAGGTGGTAGAGAAACTCATTCGACTAGGAGCTTTCAGTATGATCTTGTTTCTATATAAACTGTTCTAATCTGTTGACCACTATGCTAGGAACCCTGCAGACTAAGAAAACCAAAGGCGAGTTCCGTTATCAGGATCTGACGGCCGTCGAAATTGCCCGTGAAGTCGGATACTCAGATCTTTGGGACATTCTAACTCCGGTTATGTGTCATTTCATTCCTGCGAGGGTTCTAATGGACCTAGAACAAAAGCTCCATGAACTGATACACGCCGAACTGGCTGGCTTTGCTCATCTGAAGTACCTTCGTCTTCCTCAACTGGTGGTGTTGACCGAGCTAGAGAACCCGGAGATATGGTTTCCAATTCAGCCCCAGAGTCGGCACGGGAGAGTGTGTCATCCATATGCTCATAGTATGAAGCAGACTACTGACTTGATCTAGGGATTCTTATTTCGCTTGGATGGTCGAGAATTGGTGGTTCTGAGCATTGGGAGGAACCCTCCGCAGTCCAAGCAACTCTACCGTGTATCGGCCACAGGATGGACTGCGATACATGATGCAGTCGTGTTTCGACGGTAGCTCTTGGAAAATTGCTTGTTTTCAGCAGAAGTTGGGTATGATATGCTGGTCATGTAGTGGCCTGTCTTGCATGTTGTACATATGATTTCAGACTCAGCGACTGATTGATACGTCCATATGAACATATGGTAATTTCTTGGAATAACTGGTTCACCTACCGCAGCAGCAAAGCATAGACGTCGATGACTGATGACCACTTCGAACGTTCCGAGCAATGACAGCATGACCATGTAATCAGACATAATCAAGTCCACTATTTGAGGGTCCTGTCACCTGAAGGTAGTCTCATATTCTTATTGCAGTTCCATTGTTTTGCTGCAGTCCCCTTTGCCTCTTGTGAGGTTCTCGTGGGTATAGACAGGTACTTGAACCTGTTCCACGGAAAGCAAGCGGACAATCGTCATCGGGTGCCTCCACTGCGGACCTCGCATCACCAACCTCGTTCACTGTTCATCACCTGTCGAAGTCACTTTTTCCTCAAATTATCACATGTTCCTGTGGCTAGTACAGTGATCATTTGGACGGTATCACATCCACCGCCTGATAGGTACCGATACTTCCTACGAAGTTGTGTTTGGTATGTTTGAACACCATTCCACTTGCCCCTTCCTGCCATTTCTCCGCACACGGACCAAGCCCTGACAGCAGCAGGGTAGATCATCAGCGACCTAGCTGAGTTCCAGGGGGTCGGTACCTTTCGATGTTTGATCAAGCATTCATCTCGACTGACTAGACGATCTATCCCCGTTAGCTGGAGATTCCGATCGAGTCTCAATCATTGTTTCTTTATAAGGATTCGATCATTCCGGGGCGATCGGTGTTTGGCAGCCCAACTAAACACGCTTCGTACTATCTTGACCGCCTCCACAGCCCACATCCAAGCTATCGCTCACAGACGCACGATCTTCCCAACCATCTCTTTTTTCTTATTGGTTTTTTACTTCCTCCCCCCTCTACTCATTCTCATAGAGATTCCGATCTTCGTCGGCTTGGTCCTGGTTCTCGGGTCTCTGTAACGAGGTTCCCTTCTTCTGCCCTCATTCCCCCTCCTCCCTCCCGTCATGCCATGCTTCAAGGGTCTGGCCGTGAGTATACACACTCCGGACGGCCCCATTCCCGAGTACTCCATTCAACGCCAGTCTCGGGCATCACGTATCGCTTGCTACATCCCCGTACCGCCGCCCAAGTTACCGGACTCCGCCAACGGGAAACCTGAACAGTCGACCTTTGCCATTTCCATCACGCTGCTGAATCCCGGCCAGGATGTCCCGTACTCGACGCCGAAACCGACACCGGACAACCCCTCACCGAAGCCTAAGGTGGTGGGGGCCTCCCCGGGCAGACAAGCGAACGCGGGCAGTACACCAGTGCCGTTTCGCCCTACCAACCCTTGACCAACTCGCCGAATGAAACGGTCGCGGCTTATATTTACTTTGATGGCCGGCAGAAGGAAGAGGTCGCTACATTGCTGCGGAGAGGGGAGGAGACTTGGGTCAACTCGCGGTGGGTTAGCGTGCCCGAGTCCGAAGGAGGTGGGCTTGCCGAGCGGGAGTTTTTGTTTCGTGAGGTCGGATTGGAGAGATGGTTGAACGGGCTGGATCTGGAAGGCAAGGACGTTGCTGCCCGGATTGAGCGAAGACGGCAGAAGATGGAGAGACGCCGGCTGAAGCGTGAATCCACCGAGGGAATCGGTGAGATGGAGACGGACTCCAAATCAGCAAAGGGGGCCAAGGGGATCATGCGGTATGGCAATGATGAGAAGTCGCCTCTGGAGAACGTCTCCGACGATGATATGTCGTATTCCGATTCCGATGATGATCCGATTCCCGAGTCTGCTGGACAGATCAAAGTCGCGTTGTTCCGGGTACTGGCTTCAGGGGAGATCAAACGAGGAGAGTACTCGCCGCAATTTGATGCTCATGACGATGATGAGGATAACCAGAGCGGGCAAGGCAACGATGCGGACATTGACCACACGACGAGCTTTGCAAAGCCCAAGACGCTGGATCCTAAGACAATCAGCACGCAAACGGTTACAGGCATCGATCCTTCTGACAAGCCGTATGCGATTTTTACTTTTATGTACCGAGGAGAGAGTACGTTTCGAGCATTGCTTTGGTTTCTCGCAAAGGTTGACTAACTGTCTATCAGGACAACTACAGAAGATGGGAATTCTGAAAGATCCGAAGTCTCAAGAGACTCCTGTTTCCGCGAAGCGACGATCGTTGCAAACCGACTTCTCCAGTATCGGCCCCTCAAACCGGGCGGTACAGTTGGATTCCTCAATTTCCGGGACAAATCTGAGAACAAGGACAAGAAGAAGAAGAACAAGAGCGTGGAAGACGACGACATGGAAAGCGAGGATGATGACGACGATTCCATTCTCGGCAAAGCAGACGATGAGGAAGCCAAAGAAGACAACCATGATTTAACCGCGGAAGATATAAAGCGTCAAGGAGAACTTGCGGAGGGTGTCCGTAAAATCAAAGTACGTCGCGCCGGTCTAATTGAGAATACTCTAGGCTAACAGGTGCAGCTTAAACGTCAACACTCTTCTGCAAGCTTGGCCGGTGCTAGTAGCAGGGCCGATGCTGGGAGCCCCTGAACTCTGGAGAGACGCCAGCCACTTCGAGCATATCGACGACCCCCCTAATGCACCGGCAAGCAGCACTGCAGGCCCGGAAGCCGTAAAGGCTGCTGTGAATACACTCGATGGAGCATTTGTGGGTAGTCCCCTGAAGAAGCAACGAGCCAGCGTATCAGAAGCGGATGAAAGTTCGCTGCGTCGCCGGATGGAGTCTGGACTTTCCCAGGAGATCAGCGGAGCTCTGGGAAGCGCTGGAGAGCAAACGCAGACTGGTACGACTGCGAATACGTTTGGGGGAAGCCTGAAGCCACAAGGGCCGGCGCTTCAGCAACCAGCACTCCAGCAACCAGCACTCCAGCAACCAGCACTCCAGCAACCAGCACTCCAGCAACCAGCACCCCAGCAACCAGCACTGCAGCAAGCAGATGAGGATGAAGAGTTGTAGGGTGATTGAGATTTTGAGATTCGATGCTTGGAATCTCCAGCTTAGGGACACATTGTGGTCGGTGACACTGGCATCTTTTCATGACCGTGACGGACTGGCGTAAATTGAGCGCATGGCTTGCACTATTTGGATTTATTCTTGCACTATTTTCTTATCTAGTGGAGGTATTTTTTGCTCAGTCGAGGCTGGGAAATTTATTTAGGTGATCTTTTTGCTTGATGCCGACATGACGGGAGCAGCTTGGACGGGGGATACCATAGCGTCATTCCCGGGATGGCTTTTTTTCTTCTCCAAACATTTATTGACAGAGAATTATCGGCTGTGAATTGACTTGACTGTTGATGGGGATTTACTATAGAATTATGAACTCGCAGGACAATATACCACCAAACATTGAGACAGAATTTATGTTTAAGTTGTATCCATTGTATTCATGGAATAATGTGGTGTCGAGCTCCAGCTTCAATGTGGAAACCTCTTCCACTTCGCGTCTTGCAGTCGAACAATCTTTTCTTGAATCCGAATCATCAGTTCTCAATTGGAAGGAGACGATTCCTGAGCAGCGTTAGCAATTACAGGATGCCGCTCGAACGCTCTACAGACCCTCTGGTCTGGATAGACTGCGAGGTCAGACATCTGCCCAACATCTCTTTAGGACTGCCTCCTACTGACTGACATCATAGATGACCGGCCTCAACCCCGAAAGAGACACCATCCTCCAGATCTGCTGCTACATAACCGACGCCAACCTCAACCTCCTCGACCCGGAAGGCTTTGAAACCATCATCTACCACGACCGCTCCGTCCTCGACTCCATGTCGCCGTGGTGCGTCGACACCCACGGTCGCACGGGGCTCACCGCCGCCGTCCTCGCATCCACGACCAACCCGCCGCCGCGGCCGCGTCCTTGCTCGCCTACATCCAGCGATACGTGCCTCGTCCGCGCACGGCGCTGCTGGCGGGGAACAGCGTGCACGCCGACAAGATGTTCCTCGCGAAGGAACCGTATAAGGCTGTGCTGGAGTGGCTGCATTATCGGATTCTGGATGTGAGTGCGTTCAAGGAGGCGGCGAGGCGGTGGGTGGTGAGACATTGTTAAGGGAGGTGCCGCCCAAGAAGGAGGTGCATCTGGCCAGGGAGGATATCTTGGAGAGTATCGAGGAGATGAGGTTCTATAAGGAGAGGTTGTTTAGGGAGTAGCTATTATTAGAATGGTACTATTAGATGGTTGTCTAGCTATCGAGTCCATCCTCCGTACTGGTTCTGTGCTATGACCCGCTGGCCGGACGAGAGCTCTCCTAGCTACACTGTACCTTAGGAGCCATGTACCAAGTATGTATCTGGCTCGGTGAGCCAAGGAGATTTGATCAAACTTTGTAGCGAAAGGAATGGGGTTAGCGCTCATGAGAGGATTGAATAAGATTGAAACGTTATACGATGAACCAGGCCAATGCTTGGGAGAAATGATTGCTGTGATGTGTTGGCAGCACCACAGTGCAGTTGACTGGCTAGATACTATTCCAATACTACCTACCTGCATGGATCTATCCATCTTTCTCATTGGTATGACAATATCCAGACTATTTCTTGTCGTGGACTCCCAAAGTCATAATAATGACGCTTGTGTTGCCCCTCTCCCTCAACCAGTGGTGATCGGCCCACCTTCCCTCCACTTCCACTGAGACTAGACTCCTGCCTGTCTTCTCTGCGTTTCCTGCTTCTGTTCTTCTTTTTCTTCTTTGAAAGTCGGTGAATTCTTTTTCTTCTTCTCTTCTCTTCTTTTCTCTACTCTACTACTTCCGATCTACTGAATCATTTTATATCCCTTGCCTTTCTGCAGACTTGTTCTGTACTGTCGAGTCTCATTGACTGCCCCCGTATACCCCACGTTGTCACCCAAACAAACAACGTCATGTCGGTCCAGACAGTCTCCATCCAGCCCTTTGCTGACCAGAAGCCAGGAACGTAAGTATTTCACTCTAGATTACCCTTAAATAATCATTTTCTTCATCCTGAGCAAATTGGCTGATTGTCCCTCATTATAGCTCTGGTCTTCGCAAGAGGGTCAAGGTCTTCCAGCAGCCCCACTACTCCGAAGCTTTCGTCACCAGCATCCTGCTCTCCATCCCTGAGGGTGCTGAGGGAGCTTTCCTTGTCATCGGTGGTGATGGTCGCTACTACAACCCCGAGGTTATCCAGAAGATTGCCAAAATCAGTGCTGCCTATGGCGTCAAGAAGCTCCTGATCGGCCAGAATGGCATTCTCAGTACCCCCGCCGCCAGCAACCTGATCCGTGTGAGAAAGGCCACCGGTGGTATCCTGCTGACTGCCAGTCACAACCCTGGTGGTAGGTGAAGCTTTTCTTCTGTCGAATTCGAGCGCTAATTTTTCCAAGGCCCCAATGCCGATTTTGGGATCAAGTACAACCTGTGCAATGGTGCCCCGCTCCCGAATCCGTCACCAACAAGATCTACGAAACTTCCAAGTCCCTCACCTCCTACAAGATCGCTGAAATCCCCGATGTCGACACCTCCACCATTGGCACCAAGACCTATGGTCCCCTGGAGGTTGAGATCGTTCACTCCACCTCGGACTACCTCAAGATGATGAAGGAGATCTTCGACTTTGACCTGATCAAGGAGTTCCTCAGCACCCACAAGGACTTCAAGGTGTTGTTTGATGGTATGCACGGTGTGACTGGTCCCTATGGTGTGGACATCTTCGTCAAGGAGCTCGGTCTGCCCCAGGACAGCACCATGAACTGCGTCCCCAGCCCCGACTTTAACGGCGGCCACCCTGACCCCAACCTGGTCTACGCCCATGAGCTGGTCGAGGCCGTGGATAAGAAGGGCGTCCACTTTGGTGCTGCCAGTGATGGTGATGGTGATCGCAACATGATCTACGGTGCCAACACCTTCGTCTCTCCCGGTGACAGCTTGGCCATCATCGCACACCACGCCAAGCTCATCCCCTGGTTCCAGAAGCAGGGTGTTTATGGTCTGGCGCGGTCCATGCCCACCTCCGGCGCGGTTGACCTAGTCGCCAAGGCCCAGGGTTTGCAGAGCTACGAGGTCCCCACCGGCTGGAAGTTCTTCTGCAACCTGTTTGATAACAAGAAGATCTCCATCTGCGGCGAGGAGAGCTTCGGAACTGGCAGCAACCACATCCGCGAGAAGGACGGTGTGTGGGCCATTGTCGCCTGGTTGAACATCATCGCCGGTGTCGCCAAGCAGAAGCCCAACGAGACCCCCAGCATTGCCTCGATCCAGAACGAGTTCTGGCAGACGTACGGCCGCACCTTCTTCACTCGCTACGACTACGAGAATGTCGACAGCGACGCTGCCAACAAGCTGATCGCCAACCTGTCCGAGAAGGTCAACAACAAGGACTCTTTCGTGGGCAGCACTGTGTCCGGCCGCAAGGTGGCCGACGCGGGCAACTTCGCCTACACCGACCTTGACGGCAGCGTGACCAAGAACCAAGGTCTGTATGTCAAATTCGACGACGGCAGCCGCCTTGTGGTCCGCCTCTCTGGCACAGGCAGCAGCGGTGCCACCATCCGTCTGTACGTTGAGAAGTACGAGAGCGACAAGAGCAAGTTCGGCATGGACACTCAGGACTATCTCAAGGACAATGTAGCGCTTGCCATGTCTTTGTTGAAGTTCAAGGAGTACATCGGCCGGGAGGACCCTGATGTCAAGACTTAATTTGTTTATTTTTTCTACGGCAAGCCGCGCTGGTTTTACGACGGTTAATATGAAGTCAGAAGTAATTAAGCATGGATAGAATATAGTAGTATGGCAGTGCCAGATCAAATGCAGTCAAGTCATTAGTTCAGCGTCATCATAATCATCATAGTCATTCATCAAGGAATCATGCGATGCCAGCCGCAGTAAGCTTTTCTGCCCACCACTCCTTCCACCGCACGACCTTTTCCTCCCGCCTGGCCTCTTCGGCCGCAAAGACCACGGCATGGCTGCGCACCGCTTCTTCCAGGGTACAGCCGACGAAATGGGTTTGCGCGCGCTGCACATCCCAGCCCTCATTCTCGACGGCATCCACCGCACGCACGAAGCTGCGCGCCAGCCCGTAGTCTCCTCCGCCATGCGCCTCCTCCTCTTCCGGCGGCTGCTTGGGCACCTCGATGGTGGTAGTCGAGCGCGTCGCGAAATCATAGATGGAGATAGTCCGGCTGTCGTAGGCAATCTCGCCGCGCGTCCCGTAGACTCGCCCTCGGCGCTCACACTGTTTCTCCGTGGGGGCAATCATATGGAAGACGGCCGTTTTGGCGCGTCGCCCTTGCTGTCCCTCCCCGTTGACGACCGGCGATTCGTCCTCATCCTCGTCATCCCACGTAATAGTCACAACCTGGTCGTCGCAGACGTTATTGTCCGCTTCGAAGACACACCGGCCGTACCACGGTCGCCGCGCGATCTCCTCGTCGCTCATCTCCTCGCGGGAGTAGTCCTCGCGCAGGCGGGCCAGGAGGTGCGCCTCGCCGGCAGCACGTGCCTTGTCTGCTGGAGACGAGCGCAACACGTCCTCGATATCAGGTACCACGATCTTAACAGGCCAGCCTGTCTCCCCCTGTGACAGGTGCAGGTCGCGGTAGATCCGCACAGCGCTGTAGATGCATTCCCGCTCTGCAGGGCACGAGAGACAGTTTGTGGCTGCTGCGCCAGCGGCGGGTGGTTTGCGGGCGCGCCGGAATTGAGTCAGGGTGCCGGTGGAGGTGATGCTGCGGGGGTGGTGTGTTTGTGTCTGCATTTTCCCCTGCGCCGTCACATACTCCGCGGGGGAGGACAGCAACCACATGATAAAGTCGATATCATGGCAAGACTTGGTAAGCAGGGAGCCGTCGCCTTGGGCTGTCGCGCGCCGCCAGTTGCCCCGGACGTAGCTGTGTGCGAAATGCCACCAGCCCACCGGCTCGGTGTGCTCGAGGGACACGATGTCGCCGATGGCGCGGTCGAGGAGGAGGAGCTTGCGGAGGAGGATGTTGTGTGGGCTGTACCGGAGGACGTGGCCGATGGAGAAGATCTTGTTGTCCCCGCCGGAGGCACTGCCATTGGCACCGCTGGAGTCGCCAGCGGCTGGCGATAAGGCCTTGTAAACAGCTAGACAATCACCCAGCGATAGCGCAAGCGGCTTCTCGCAGAGGATATGCAGCCCCAATGGCGCCAGAGCCGTCACGATCTCGACGTGTGTTTCGTCGAGCGTGCAGATGAAGACACCGTCCACCCCGTCCCCATCTGCCCCCTGAGACTGATCCGGCTGCGCGCGCCGCGCCGTCTCCCACTCCAGCCATTCCCTCCAATCACTAAACTCCTGGCCATCGGCTGGCTGCCCCTCCTCGCCCCAGATATACTTCCGGCCGAAATCGGCGCGCTTGAAGGCGTGAGGTTCGGCGACGGCGTGGATACATGCGGGGGTGCTGGTTGTTACGGCGCGGGCGTAGGCGTTGCCGCGGGAGCCGGCGCCGATGACTAGGAAGCGGAGGCTACGCCCCTTAATGGGTATGGGTCTGGAGGGGAGGTCGTGTTCTGTTGTAGGTTCTTTCATGGTTAAGCGGTATGCGGATGCGGGTGCGGATGCTGATAGACGATAAGCAATGGAGAGGGGTGGGGGGTGAGAGGAATGCGGGGGTGTCATACGGAGTAATTTATAGGAGATATTCAGGGATTGCGCTAAGGACAGGCTTCATTTCGTTTTCTCTGGAAGCCTGTGAGACTAGGTGTAGGCACGGTAGAAGTTAAAGCAGCTGCTGATGAAACATCGCGTCGCAACGGTGAGACAACACTTGTAATCATGGATCGCTGGTTGGCTGCCGAAAATCAATAGTGATGGTCAAGGCTGCAGCTCACGATCAACCACAACACAGACAGTAGGCTACAATATTTGTTGGGAGCATGGTCAGAAGACAATTATCAATTATTGATTATCTTGTATTATTCGGGAATTATCCACCAGCCCAGTGACGTTATTTGTATCTGTACACTTTTGACGCCGAACACGGGAGACTCAACCCGATCTCGCATTCAGAGAGATGATTGAAGAAGAAGAATGTACATGAGATGTGAGAAAGTATAGCCAAAGAAGATGTGAGATAGAAATAGAATAGATTGGGGTATCCATAAAAGAAAGCAAGTACAATCCAGACATGAGAGACATGGCACGCTGATGTGCAAATATAGTGTAGAGTCTTAAGGTTGACTTCGAATGGAGGTGCGTGCTCGAATCCGGTGAATTACTACCGGATGGTGGGCCGTGACCAAGGAGCTGCGCTGGTAGTTGCGCCGGACTGATATACGGCGAATCGGTGATAGTTGGCTGGCGATCGACGCAGCGAGCGGAGAACTGCAGACTATAAGTCCGGTCGATCCGTACAGAGAATGCCTCTTAATGCATTATTTGCAGCAGGCATATTCGAGTTATGTACTCAAACTGGTCACAATCCGTCAAGGCTCTCTGTGAAGCGACTCCCCGGCTGCCGTCGAAGCTTGGGTGACTCCGGCCCAGTCCGTCTGGCCGCTGAGGAATCGTGGGGGATAATGTACCCCCCGGTTGAGGAATGGCACGCGAGGCCGCCGGTACGTTCACCACACTGACGTTCGTCGAGCTGGCAACCGGCGTCCGGGCAGGTGATGGTCGGAAGACAACGACCGACTCGGGCTCGTCCGTTTCCCGCGTGTAGCTCACATCCAGTGGCATTCCGTACGGCATCGAGGGAGGAGGCTGAGAGATGACCGATCGAGGTTGGACGGGTGACCCCGGGGCTAGGCTCATGCTGGGCTCCGACGCCGTCGGCGATCCCTGATCAAACCCGCCACCATAGCCATCCCCCCCTGACTGCAGCACCGAGGGGATCTTGCGGCCCGAGATCTTCTGGAACCCGCGTTCGCTCGTGGTGGTAGAGGTCAAGGTACTGTCGTCAGACCGCACCGTCTGGTTCGACTGCCTCCATCGCTTCATAAAAGCCGGAGCAAAGTACGACGCCGTGAACAGGGGGTCACGGCTCGAACGCCGTGACGCCATCTCGGTGCGTGAAACAGATCCTCCTTCTCCAGCCGTGCCGCCAGCCCCATCACTCGCTGGGAGACCACGGTTCGGTCCAAACAAGGCCGTCTTGCGCCGTCGCAGCAGGAAGAAGAGCAGGGCGAGCAGGAAGAATGCGCCAGCGAGGCCTCCAACAACTCCGCCCACAATGCGCTTGGTCGTGACGCTGTCCAAGCCACCACCAGAGGACGATGACGACGTCGTCGCTGAGGGAGCCTGGCCCGTAGCAGTTGCGCCTGAATCTCCGCCTACGAAATACGTTCCCGTACTATACAGGTCCGCAGTGGTAGTGGCTTCTGGCACGGACGTGGTCGAGTAATCACCAGAGTCGCTGGAAGTGCTGTCGTATGAAGCGTATGAACTGGTACCATTGGTGTTGGTCGAACTAGAAATCGTACTCGTCGAAGTGGGCTTTGGTGAGGCTATTGGGGTTGAGCTCAATACAGCACTCGAGGATCGAGCACTAGGTATTAAAGCGGACGACTGGGTGCTACTCGCAGAGTTAATGATGGCGATAGACGTTGGAACCGAAACCGATATTGAAGCCGATAAGTCTAATGACAAAGAAACAGAGGTGGTGGGTATGATCGTCAAATCGCTAGCGGTTGTAGTAGCCGAAGTGTCCGCGGTGAAAGAAGTCGGGCCAGGTGACGGGGTAGGAATCTCATTTAACGAAGTGGTCGATGGCACATCCGCGGGGGTGACTCGACAGGAACAGACACGGTTGGTTGACTGGAAGCAGGCTCCGATATGGGCGTTGGAAGAGCCGCAACAGTGTCTGGAGGCGCTTCGCCAACACTGGTTACCGCGGTGGTCAGCGCCTCCGTCTGAGATCCTGGAGGGACGGCGGAGGAATCCTGACGCTTTCCTAGCGAATAGTCCGAGTCCTTGTGCGATACCTCCCCTGACGACCCATGATGCTTGTTATGGTCCAGGACGTGCGCCTTTTTCATACTGGAGATCAACGACCCGGCCGAACCTTCCCCTGGTTGGCTGGCTGGTTCGACTTCCTCGTGACGTGTTCGATGCTTCTGTTTCATCAGCCTGGTAAGCCGCTGACTCCGAGAAATGCCGTTGTGTGCCATTCTGGCAGTCGTCCTCCTGAGCGTTCCTAATCCCCCAACAATCGCATGCAAGCCTGGGAACTGAATAAACTGCAATGCTTCAAGTGAGGTGAACTGATGGGCAATCGTTCAGTATTCGATAACGCACGTGTGTCTGCCTGCACAGCGCCTGAGATGATCTGCAAAAGAGGGAAAGTAAGATCGATTGATGCAGGATACTGATTGAATTGAACTGAACTGGTATTGAAAGAGTGTTGACGGATAGACCATATGCCGAAAGGAGTGAGAGACGGGTCTAAGACGTTGTATGAAGCGAAAGGAGCGACGGGTCGGTCTGTAACGAGTCTGAAACAGGCGGAATCGTAGACCGTAGCGAAACCAAGGAGTGGACGTCAGCTGTCACCGTGCAGCCGACTAAATGTAGACAGAAATGGAAGACTCAAGGTCATAAAAGTCTAGCAAGTTGACCAGAAGCGTTAGCTCTTTGCGTCGTTGCGTCGTTGCGTTGCTGCCGGTGAATTGATCCATGAGAACAAAGCTAGGCAGCGAAGCACACACCTTAAGGAAAGAATATGAAGCGAAAAGATATAATGCAGCGATCACGATTGCTATCCGTTCCTCCGAGGATCTTAATCCATGCCTGTGGCGGAGGAGCTATGCGCAGGATTCACCACGATGAGCTTCGACTCAAGCTTTCGACTGCTGAATTTCTCTGCCGACTTCTCCCAGCGGTTGACAGTCGATGGTTGAGGACCGGATGGTCGACGGATCCACGCTTTGAAAGGTACCCAGGTTCCGGACCCAAGGATCGCTATCCGTTCTTTTTCGTTCTCGGCACACGTCCACAAGAGTTAACCCGTGGACTGAAATTTCCGCTCACTGGTCTGGTTATACCAGCGCCCAAATCTAGCAGTGAGCGCAGCCAGGTCGAAAATCGAGGTTACTCGCTCGGCATCCGATCATAGGGGGGGCGGGGAAACGGTGGTGATGAGGGAGGGGGAGGGAGGCGTAGCCGCAAAGGAAAAGGAAGAGAGAGGGGAATGAGGAAATGAGAAGAAGCGAAGAAGCGAAGAGGCGAGGCGATCGTAAACAGACGGGCTAGACTAGAGTAGTCTCGTTTTGAATATTTACACTAGCTAAGGTAGCTGGGAAGTTAGCCGACCCGACCAGGTTGTTTGTTGGTGGTGATCGATCAGGCCAGGCACACAGGACAGGAACAGGAGCAGGAGCAGGAGCAGGGAATAATAATAGACTAGAATTAGATACAGGCTCACGAGTCACAGCGTTCTCCCGTGGTCTTAGACTGTTTTCTCTTAGACCCTCCGAGGCGGCTGCTAGTCTCGATGGCCTCATTGGGCCAATTTCGAAATTAATTAAGGTACATCTCCTCCGTCCTCAGCCAGACCAGACGGCACGAGAATCTTCTGCTGTCCTCCGACGGTCAATGATATTAGTTGTAATGGTTCTCTGCAAGGCGATTGCATAACAGTTCAGACATAGTAACAATATCATATTGTCCGAGACATAACAGATCGCCATCCTATTTTGCTGCAGCCTGCAGATGATACCAAGAGGTTCTGGCCCCGAACAAGGATAATTTAAAAAAAGAGACACGCCCCGCACAACTGTGGGTGGAAAAGCGTCACTTGCTTACGCACTAGCCTCTTTGTGGTTTAGCCTGCAGACTAGCCCGCAGAGTGTTTAATTAGATCTCGGTCTGTGTAAATAAACACGATAGTACGTAGTACCGCAGCAAGTCGGGCGCCATATTGCCAGTTGGATCATTTGGCTACGAGTCTACCAGTCATCTGCGCAATCCAATCGTTTGATAAAATCTGTCCACTCTGGAGTTAAGATACTCCAAGTCAAGAGTGAGCAGTCTACACTAACCATTAACCTCATAATAATACCCCGTATGACCGCCCATCAGCCAATGCAGTAAGCCTGCTAGTAATGCACCCCTGAGGCTCAGACTGCGACTGGAGGCAAGGGGACTCCCTCTATCGCCGCGTGTAACCAATAGCCTAAACCTGCAAGGTACAACTCTTACAACCGCACCTTAGGTACTCTTACAGTCCTACCTTTTCTTACTGAGGCACAAAACCACGAAGTCGAGTCACATCTCATCCCAGTCCCCAAGCCATTTTCTCGAGTAACATTGTATCACCGCGTATTTCCGTCCGTTCTTGACTCGCAGCCTTTTGCATGCTCCCCGTCGAGGTGGTAACAGTGCATCAACAACCAGATAGATAATGATCACGCCTGGAGGGCTGACGTACGACTTTAAACTTGCCGTCTACGTCTTTCTCGACCCCACTGCTATTTATATGAACTCGGCCCGTCCAGATATAAATATCAGTTTCAAAGACAGTCTCTTAGTCTCTTCCCTCTTCCCGTGTGATGGTGCCATTATCCGGAAAATAATGATCATGGCCCACCGACCCTCCTTCGAGAATGCCATCGAAGGAATGGAACCCGTCCGCCAGGGTGACTAAGACTAAGGACTGAGGAACATTCGTGGAAGGTCGCGCAAAAAGACACATGCAATCACCTGATTGACCTTACTGTACGGATACCGCCTTCAAGCCGAAATTGAGTTTCGACATATTGAAAACTGCACACTCAGTCGGGTCTTCCCCGTCATAGTGAAAGCAAAGTACGAGTAGACCACAAATCTCGATCTCACACTATAACACAGGCTGGCTTTCACTCTATGCTTTGCAATTCGTATTTGTCTGGCTCACCACACGCCCAAGCACGGATGAGGCGCTGCTCGCACTCCATATGCCACTAATCCAAACCAAAGACGGAGGGAAAAGGGACTGATTCAAGTCGGTGGGGATGTAAAGGATCACGGTTTCAACGCTAGTGATAAAGGGGTATTATTAACGAAAAGACGTCTATTGCCATGAACCTAGAATGTCTCCAGCTCATCGACGACCTCCGCTTCCGCTGGGATCTCAAACCCTTCCTATGGAAAGAATTAGCACCTGAAGCCAAGAAGAGAGGCAAAGCGTCGTCGCAAACACGTACCTCCGTCGAGTACAGGATGCCCTGGATATGCTTCACCAGAGTGTCTTCTTCCTTCTCCAGTTCCGGGTCAGCCTCGATGGCATTCTGCAGCAGCAGCTCGATATCCCGGAGCTTGGCAAAGTAGAAGTCGCGCTCCTTCTCCAGGCCAGCAATAGCCTCCTTCTGAGTCGCAATCTCCTGCTGCAGAGCAGCAGTGCTAGCTCCTCCGGCGGCTGCAGAAACCCGAGGGCGAACAGCGCCGGTTGTAGGGGTAGCTCCTCTCCGGGTAGCTCCCGCCGAGGACGATGCGCCAGAGCGAGTACCAGTGGCAGAAGGGGCTGGAGCGCCAGAACCCTTCCGGCGGCCGACGGCATCGTAGTCGCCCCCGGGGTAGTGCTGGTCCCAGTATCTCTTGGTCCACTGGAGAAATTCGAGGTTATCCTGCATGCGGCATTTTGAGAGCTGCTGGACCGGGATCGGCTTCTCAATCTGGTGGCGAGTGAATGTATCTGAGTAGAGCGTAGAGGTCAGAAATGGGATCTCAACCGAGGAATATACGGCCCATGCGGTGTCATACTCTGAAGGATCTTGAAATTCTGGAGATAGGCGTACTCGGTGTTGACATTGAACTTCACACGCGACATGGGAACATCCACTGCAGGAGAGGACACAGGTTAGCTAGCCAAACACAACAGTTGAACCCAAGTGGCTCCTTGAAGCCTGCGGGCTGTTCACTCACTAAATATCGAATCGAAAATCTGACACAGAGCGGCCCTGTAGAACCGAATCAGCACTTTGAGATCATGCTTTGGAGGTGTCCAAATCCGTGTTATCCAGATAGGGTCGGCGTGGAATGGTTAAATATTCCAAAGACATAAAAAGGAGCGTCAATCGTACCCGGTTCCGCACTGTTCGATCTTGGTTAGATTCAGCTGCAGTAGGGTGTTAACCCATGCCAGCAATTCCTGTCTGTATAGCGAGAAATGCTCGAATTAGCGAGATGCTCGAGATCAAAACAAAGCCCCTTGGGGAAACGATCAGTTGGCCTGACGAACCTGGATTCTCCCATGGTGGGGTAATTTTGTCACTGCGAAGATGCACAACCGTTGAAAGGGCGTCGGGGAGGGATTGTAGCTCAAGCGATTATTGAAAGGAGAGGAAAATTCAGCTACAGATGGCCTTTGTTTTTGGTCGAGGTTGAATTTGTTTATGGGGAGAAGAGAACGAGCAGCCGTAGACACAGCGGATTGTTTTGCTTCTGTCCTCGAAACCCACGGCTCTGCCTGGCGCTAAGGAGCCCCCCTGGCCAATCATATGCAGCCTCTCCCTTTGCTTCAAGAACATTTAGCTAACAGGTGATCATGAGTAAGAGTCGGATATACCAGTGGTAAAAAGGAGTAAATTAGTCCAAGAATGCTATATAGGGACCTGTAGGGACCAGGGTATAACCAGTAGTGCTCTGATTCTAAATCCAACTGAATGCACCAGTAACAGCCAGCGTCTAATCTCTATGGTGTCTTTTTGTATGAAATCAAAGCGCAGAAAAACCGAAACAGGCTCCAAGTCTAACAAGTTCAAATCCGAGGAATCTATCGCTTTCAAGTAAAAAAAGTCATGTTCTTTTCAAAAGAGCCAGTGTATCATCCGAAAACCCCAAACCCAACATATTTCCAACGTTCCTAAGTAAACGGAAGGCGTCAGTTAAGATCACTCTTCCAACATCTCGATGCCATCCAGGCCATAGCCGAAATCCATAATGACAGCTCGAGAATCTTGGCTGGTGGCAACAATGCGTCGATAGTCCGACTTCACACTCAACATCCAGCTGGTGGTCCAGCCAGGCAAGTCAATAGAGAGCTCGCCGGTCTGGGCGTCGAAGACCTTGACACTCATGTCATAGCTGCCGCTGACAATCCGCTGGTTCATGCTGTCCAGATGTAGCGACCGGACAAGACCAGCATGTCCTTTGAGCTCACGGACCATCTCGGCAGTGTTCGCGTCAAACTGGTAGATCGACTGGTCATTTCCACCGGTGAGAATGGTGCGTGCGTCATCACTGAATTCCACACAGGCTAGTCCACGGTCCTTGCTGGAAAACTCCTTGACACAAAGACCCGAGGTGATGTTCCAGAGTTTGGCTACTCCGTCCCCGCTCGCCGACACGACTAGATCGCCCCGGAGCTGGACGGCGTTCACGGGTCCACGATGGCCGAGAAGCTTCTTCACCAGCGCGCCCGTCTGCCGATCCCACACACAGATGGTTGTGTCCTTGGAGCAGGATACGATATACCGATCATCGAAGCACACGTCCAGCACGCCAGCTCTGTGGCCCTCTAGACGACGAATCGGCCTGTAATCGTTCTTGATGTCCCAGACAATGCAGGTGAAGTCAGACGACCCAGTGACCATGATCTCTTCGTCAAATTGAAGGCAAAGAATGGAAGCGCTGTGGTAGTCGGAGCTCTGGTCAATGGGAGTCACAATTCCTGCCGCGAGGGTAGGAGGAGGGCAGATGGTGAGAAAAGGAGGCTTGCCCGACGACTGCTGAGTCGGGTTGTTGACCTGTCCAATGCTCGAGACTTCGCCCGGAGGAGGACCAATGATCTTACGGCACGGCCACGGGTAATGAGCATCCCACACCCGGATGGTTCGATCACGAGAGCCAGTGATGATTTTGTCTCTGTGAAGTCCAAGTCAGATCAAAGCACCATATAACGCAGGGACTCAAAAACATACTCATCGAATTGAACACAGTAGACGCTGTCCGTATGGCCGTGCAGGTAGATTGCGGCCGCTTTCCCCTCCTTCCATCGATGATCGAGAGCACGACGGACGAGGAACATCTTCTTCCAGTCCTGATTCGGGATTGACTTTCCCAGGCCAGCGGACTGCCTCTTTTTGGGTGCGACACCGCTGGGGGGCGATGTCCGTACGCACGACGAAATACCTGCCTCCAGATGTGCCGAGAGGAAGCCTGCTCTCTCCAGGCACGAGAAACCAGTTCAGCCTGCATCAGAGACTCTGGGTCAAGATACGATAGAACCAGCGACATGATCTCAGATGGCAGATAGATCACGGGATCAATGCGGACGAAGGCCAGGTCCACTTCGGATAATTCCGAGCGATCGCGCAGATCAATGTCAATACCACTTTCCGAATCCCGAGGGACTTTCATATCGAATGATTTGACATATTCTCGTTCCGCCCTCGCCAATTCGTTTTGTGCAGCTGCAGCGGCCCGAGCGGCGGCCCCGGCGTAAATACTGTCTGGAAGAATCGGAGGTTCAAGTCCACGACCGGGAATAGGGCCGGAACTGATGCAACAGGGGCGTAGAACGTCTGCAAGGCAGTTTCGTAAGTAAGAGAAGGGCGGCGGTTGGGGTTGTAGCCCTTGCACCAGAATTGCCCTAATCCGGTTTCTCCACACCCACTGGCGTCTTGAGACTCATGGACCGCAGCACCGACATCCTCGTCAGCGTGGTGGTGAGAAGCATGTCTGGAGGACTTGTGCCGGATCGTCACAGAAAGGCGACGGCCCAGAGCGCGCAAACCATCCATGGGGTGCCGCAGACTGGAGAAGCTCTTTGCAGCACGGCGCCTGGTAACAGGTTCAGGGAAATGATTTGTCTCTTCCACAACGTCTTCATGGTCATTGTGGTCTTCATCGGCACAGAGTGACCCATTCCAAACATCATGTTCCAATGCGAACGGGTGTGCTGTTGACAGTGTGGCATTGCGAGGGCGAGTCTTATCAGAGAGTGACGGGCGACGTCGCGCGGGAATAGCAACCGATTCTCGTGGCATCATGGCGCTCGGGGAGGTCGAGATAGAGATCGGCAACAGGATGAGACCCGAATAGATGTCGTGGAGTATCGGGGAAATTGCGTTCTGCACGAGAGCCAGCTGGGACCGAGGAATAGTCTAGATATTGGCAACTTCGGAAGCCTTTGCCCTTCAATCTGAAACAATAGGGGATTCAACGCAAGGAGCTGAGTATGTCGACGGAGGAAATTTATGTACTCCCAAGGGCCAGCATGGAAAGACGGTAGGTTCTAAATAAAATAATCCCAAAACTGATAAGAGAAACGAAAGAGAGGCAACTGATATCGACGACAATGACTGAGCGACCGCAACAAGATCTACCCGTGATAGAGATATACTATAGAAACGCCAGGGTCACAGGGCGAGAGAATGTACAGCACACACCCCTGGAACGAAGGAGATAAAAAATAGACAATGAAAGAAACAAGAAAAAGGGACGCTGACAAGAAACCACAAGCTGAGAGGAAGGATATAACAATAAGCAATAATAAGGGATACAAAGAGAAAGAATCAAAGCACGGGGGTTTAGAGGGAAAAGGGTGACAGCAGGCGGTGAGAATGGGAATTTTTTGCCTCCCCAGCCCGATAAGGCCCGATTGGGAATTTCGCACGACTGAGAATTGGGGGAAAAGATTGGGGACACGTCCAAAGGAACGCCGTCCTTCTACACCGTTTCCAGAACTCCGCGTTCCAATGGCAGAATTCAGGTACCAACCATGGTGAAGGGGGAGAACATTTCATCATGACGGAGACTGCTCCAAAGTCGACCTTTCTCGAAAAACTTTATCATCGGTGGCGACGATAACGCCTCGTCTGCAGTACTTTTGACCGTCAATCCAATCCACACGTATTGTTACTATTATTGCAGGCAGAGCTGAAAGAAAAAATTTTCACTGCATATACAACGTCCAATTGAGTTATCCGTGATGAGACTTTTCCCTTTGGAGTAACTGTGAGTGACAATGGAAAGGCCATGCTTGTGCGTGGCCTTTGATTTTTAGAAGCAGGGCAATTCCACGCCTGCGCATCGCTACCTTACGCAGCCAGATCTAACTATACCTATCAAGTTTGTCTTGGGTTTGTTCTTGGTTTGTATTTGGTTTGATGTAGGGATCAATACTCCGATACCTGGCATGTACATCAAAAGTATTGGAAAAGCATTTTACGATCGCGCCATAATCTAGTAAAAGTCTCTTCTATAATGCTTCGTGTTATGGCACGTACCTACTGAAGCGCTGAATGTATTGGCCCTTTGGCGTTCAGAACTGGACATGCAATGTTCTTGCTGTTACCAATTTCTGCAATTATACAGTTTGACGATCATCAGAGCAATGGAGCATGCTGCCGTTTATAAAATGGCGCCAATAATTAGAATCCAACACCCCATAAGAATGCATCCTCTTCATTCTAGTGTCACGATCCTCCAGCCATCGCCAGAGACCTAGGCTCCTGACGACTCAGCTTTGGGTGTAGAATTAGGCACATGGTTTTGTAGCCTATGGAACATCTCTGGTCCCCTTATTTCAATGATTGACTGTCCTTTGGTATGCTTTTCTTACTGTAGGATAACTGGCAGACAAGAAGACCCTTGAATAATGTACATACCAGTTTATTGAAATCCGATTCAGATGACTAGATCTCCCTTCTGTCCCCGCTGTCGATGATATACCCCATGGGGGGTTGGTTCTCTATCCACAAAAGGAGCGGGAACCCTTAACAGTTAGGGCTTCAATCAAGAATTCAAGACCATTTCCTCTCAAGTTCTTTCTCGGGCACAGATCCCCGTATTACAACTCTCTGGATATTCAATTTTGAAAACTCTAGCTGCAAATCATGGATTGCTTTGTTCAGTCCGCTACGAACAACCAATACCCTACTAGTCGCTAGTACATCGAGTACCTTGTGGATCGCGGGCAGTATATAAAGCAGCGGCTTGGATTATTTCACCTGTACTGTGCATAAACTATACAAAGACGCTTTTCTGTCATATCCTCATATCATAGTCGTACTAGTGCATCACATCCAAAATCCAATCATTGACCAAAGACCTTGTCATAGCCAGTCAGGGTAAACCGGTAGCGAACATCTCCCTTCTTCATCCGGAGCATGGCCTCCTTGAGACCCTCCTCGCCAATCTGCAGCTCCTCTACCCAGCTCTTCAGGCCCTTATCGGCCGCCAGCTGAAGCATGGCCAGCATTTCCTTCCGGCTACCCAGATGGCTCGCTCCGATTAGGACTCCGTTCGAGATGAGGTGCTGCGCCTTGATGACCTGGCCTTCTTCTTCGGGCAGACCGACGCTGATCCAGCGGCCGTGCACATCCATCATGGACAGGTACTTGGCGAGATCGAAGCCCTCGGAGGAGTTGGCGCAGTTGATGATCAGATCAAACGAGAACCGGTGAGGTTTCTCCCAGCCCTCCTCCGCCGTGGCGATGTACCCGTCCGCACCGAGCTTGCGCGCATCGGCCTCCTTGGCCCGACTGCGGGAGATGGCCCAGACCTCCGCACCCAGCGCCTTGGCGAACATCACGCCAAAGTGGCCGATACCTCCCAGGCCGACGATACCGACCTTCTTACCGGGGCCGGCCCCGTTGCGGACCAGAGGAGAGTATGCGGTCAGACCGGCGCACAGCATGGGTGCGACGAGGTTGGAGTCGAGGGCGTCGGGGATGGGGAACACCCAGTGCTCGTGGGTGCGGACGTGGGAGGAGTAGCCACCCTGGCTGACGATGCCAGTCTCGGGCCACTCGGCGCCGTATGTGTCGATCATGAGGACAGGGCAGTATGTCTCGTTGTCGTTCTTGCATTGCTTGCATTCGCCGCAGGAGTAGGACTGAGCGCCGACACCCACACGCTGGCCCTCCTTGATCAGGGTCACTTTGGGGCCGACGCGGATGGCACGACCGACGATTTCTGTTGAAGCAGCTCAAGTCAGAAATGCTCACCTCGGCGTGCTGGAGGGAGAACCATTCTTACCATGTCCTACGCAAAGGGGAATTTCTGCTCTCCCCAACCACCTGGACAGCGCCGTTAGCGAGGCTGTCCTTTTGGTTTCTTGGATGCAAACTCAAGACTTACCACTGATCGTGTGCACATCACTACCGCAGATACCGCACGCTTCAATCTTGATGTCGACATCTAAGCGGATTGTGTCAGCCATCGCAAACACTATGCTCGCGCTTGATTCAAGATGCCCACTCACCATAATCACCAAAAGGCTTCAGTTTAAACTATACACAACAAAAGATAAAATTAGCAACGACTGCCAAGTCGCAACCAAGCGAGCACCACGTACAAATCTCTTGTGGAAAGTGGTGTAAGTCTCAGGGCTATCGACCTGGAAACCTTCAGCTTCGTCGGGGTAAGGCATTGTGAAGGATGAGTTCAATGGCTATCAGAAGAGAAGAGACAGTGACAGTCAAGAGTCAAGGACAGACACAATGATTAAGAAGAAAAAGAGAGAAGAGCAGCCCCTCCAAGGCAGGACCACGGCCCATCTTTTAAATCCGGCATGCAGCGTCCTGAACGCACCAACCCACTTGGTTGACCCAACCCGCTTCTCCAATTATTCTTGTCACTTCAACTGCGGAGCTAAGACTTATCGTGACTTTTTGCTCGCAGGAATTGCCAGGCTACCAGCCACGTCGAGTTGAGTTTCCGTGGATTGTTCCGACAAACACGTTTCATACTTGCTGTATAAACTAGTTGACGGGATTGATCATCTGGTTCAGACTAACTGCAGACTTGCTCTACTCGCTCCTACAGGTGAGCTGAACATGAACTATGAGCGTTCTGTCTATGTTGTAGGCTCTTTGGCGTCCCCCAGAGAATGGACATTATCACTAACACACTCCAACCATCACCACAACCTTCTAGTGAACACTGAGTTTCAATTTCATCGACGAAATTCAAACGTCCCCTGACAGCAACAAGTTTCCATCCAACACTTTTTTCGGCATGTCTTCTGATGGATAAGGTAGTAAAGTAGTATCCGAGAACTTGCCCGCCCGCGGTTAATTGTCCACCTATCAGCATCAAGCTGCACTGTGCCTGGCGTGGGGGTGGCCCCTCGCAGATTTGGAGAAACTGATTTCTGTTACAGTTGAAAGAGAGCATTAAAGTCTATCCGGCAAAAACTGAGATGTGAGATTTGGATAATTATGGAAGGAGTTGAAGGGATGTCATTGTTGCAATGATATCCCGAGTCAGCGAAAGTAATTTTATACTACGGTGGCTTCAAATGGCCCGAAAAAGTATCTTGTCCTCAACATAACCAATCATAGCTTCATTTGCATTCAAATAAGTAAACTACGGGTACTTAAAAGTCTATGCAATGTCAGGCAATGAACGCTCCACCTCCATGGCATCCTTGATCTTATCCGCCACGGCTTGCGCCTGCTCCTCGCTAAGTCGGGCCAATGGCCGCCGAGGGTACCCGCCGTAGCCATAGTAGCTCTGGATCGCACTCTTGGTGCCGGGGATGGCCGCCTTGGTGAGCACCCAGTCGGCCTTGCTGAGCAACTGCTGCGCCTCCATGGCCTCTGTCAACCGGCCCTCGCTCCAAAGGTTGAAGATGCGCACACACAGACGGGGGATGACGTTGGCCCCGCCGGCCAGGATCGCCGAGCCACCAGACACCAGCGTCTGCAGGGTGAAGTCGGCGATACCGCCAAAGGCGATGTAGGGGTGGTTCTCGACCTGCTTGGTGGAGGGCTTCTTTGTGGTGGGGGCGAGCGGGGAAGGAGGGGTGATGGCGTTGAGGGCGCCGGCGACACGGGTAAGCTTGCCCGTGTTGGCGCAGGTGAACTTTGTGCCGACGATGTTGGGGTGCTGCGAGATGCGGATGATCAGGTCGGAGTCCATGTCGATGCCGGCGACGGCGCCGGGGTAGTTGTACAGGATGATGGGGAGCGGGGAGCCGTCCGCGACGGCGGTGAAGTACTCGTAGAGCGTCTCGTCGTTGCCGACGGCGTAGCGGTAGTAGCTGGGGGCACGATGAGGACGTACTCAGCGCCGGCCTCGGCACATTCCTTGCACAGTTCGATGGTGCCGCGGATGCTGTTCTCGCTGGCGCCGGCGATGACGGGAACGTTGGCGAACCCGGCCTCAACCAGGGCGGAACGTGTCTCGCGGATGACTGTCTTGCGCTCTTCGCGGGTCAGGTGCACGGCTTCACCGTTGGAACCCATGGTGACCAGTCCGACCAGACCGGCCTTGGCCAGGCGGACGGCATGGCGGCGGATTGTTGGGACATCGAGGTCTTCAGTGTCGGGGTTGAAGAAGGTCATGGTGGGAGCATAGACTCCGGGACGGAGAGGTGTGCGCGACGCCATTTTGATGATATAATTGAGCCGGTACGGTATGCTGTGATCAATCTGGTCAGTATACAGAGTCCTTAATATTGCTTTGGGAGGGGAGAATCACATACGGGTATGTAAACAATCTGATCAACAACAGTCGCGCTCAATCAGGACGAATAAGAGGAAAGGTATGATACCAGCCTAGCAGGCTGGGAGAGTCTGGCATGGCGCCCGTCTATAAATATAAATCCAAAAAAAAAAAGTTCACACGGAGTTCTCCTCTTCAGTCCAGGCTATATTCCGCGATGACTTTACCCCGCGTAGTGACTTGCTAGCTGCTAAGATGCTAACATCCCACTTCCCCCACTTCCGTATCTTTGTATCGATTGCCCCACTCCGGCGTCGGCCTTTTCGCCGTGACAAGACGGATCAGAAAATTTCCGCCAATCAGAGTATCGAATCCGTCGGTATTGAAAGTTGCCGTTTTGGTGCCTGAAAAGCAAAGACCGACATGAGGTACAGGAGCAACCATATAGATACATCCTCATACAGTAGTAGCAAGCTGCTGTTGTCTCTGAAACAGGTCATGGCTGCTTCTTCTGTATTACTTCAGACTCGTGGAACTATACAATCATTTCCATCGAATTAACTGCGACGAGATCATCCACAAATAGAGTGTTTGTGGTTACTCGTGTACCCCATTCGACATGTGGATCGGCTATTGACGCTGTTCCAACGGCAGAATTCAGGCTGGAGGGTCCCTCGTTCTTCCGTCAATGTGTCCGTACGCAGCTGGGAACCCGGGGATTACAAAAGTCTCCTTGGTGCCGTGGACTGTGGGATTCGAGATTGTAACCTGAAATTTGCTCTCTTCCTTCAAGATACCCTCTCGCGCCCCTAATATCATCTGCTCCTCTACCCCGCACGGTGATAACTAAAGCTTCATCTTCGGTTTCGTCCACGAGAGCACTCAAGATGGCGCCTAGTGTATTGATGGTAAGTGAATCCTTATTGTTTCGACTCATCGGATGTAGCTAACGTGCTGGCAGGTAGGAACTGGAGAGTACACCACGGGTTTCGTGGGTGGTGGTGCTTCTGGTTCGGACAAGAAGGTTGGAGTTGTCGGTTTGACCCTCTTTGACCTCCGACGACGAGGCAAGGTTGGCAAGCTGAGCATGGTGGGAGTTTCCGGGCGCAAGTTTCCTGGCATTCGTAAGGGCGACCGTATCCCGAATTCCATACACCTGAATCTTGAACTGACCGTCCAGGCGAGCATCTTCGCAAGAACATCTCCGAGGTCTACAATGGCCTGGACGTTTCCTTCGAGTCATTCCCCGCCGACGACCAGACTGACCCCGACGCCTACAAGGCAGCAATTGACGCCCTGGAGCCCGGCAGCGCCATCACCATCTTCACTCCTGACCCCACACACTTCCCCATCGCCCTGTACGCCATCCAGCGCAAAATCCACGTCATGATCACCAAGCCCGCCACAAAGCTGCTGCAGGACCACCTCACCCTCCTCGAGGAGTCCCGCAAGCACGGCGTCTTCGTCTACATCGAGCACCACAAGCGCTTCGATCCCGCCTACTCGGACGCCCGCGCCAAGGCCAAGAACCTCGGTGACTTCAACTACTTCTACTCTTACATGAGCCAGCCCAAGAGCCAGCTCGAGACCTTCAAGGCCTGGGCCGGCAAGGAGAGCGACATCTCCTACTACCTCAACTCCCACCACATCGACATCAACGAGAGCATGGTCCCCGACTACACGCCTGTCAAGGTCACCGCGTCCGCGGCCAAGGGCACCGCCGTCGCGCTGGGCTGCACCCCGGAGACAGAGGACACCATCACCTTGCTGGTAAACTGGCAGAGCAAGCAGGACCCCTCCAAGCTCGCGACGGGTGTCTACACGGCCAGCTGGACCGCCCCCCAGAAGGCTGGCGTGCATTCCAACCAATACTTCCACTGTAAGTCCCCCCCCCCCCCATCCAGCTTCCGAGTACGTCGCCGGTTTGACTGACTGCTGGCAGACATGGGCTCCAAGGGCGAAATCCGCATCAACCAAGCCAAGCGCGGCTACGACGTCGTTGACGACAACCAGGGCCAATTGGCCTGGATCAACCCGTAAGTCTCTGTCGCTTGCTTGTTCTAAATAAAGGTTATATATTGATCTCGGGGCAGCTTCTACATGCGCTACGCCCCCGACGAAGAGGGCAACTTTGGCGGCCAGACGGGCTACGGGTACATCAGCTTCGAAAAGTTCATCGACGCCGTCACGGCCCTGAATGAGGGCCGCGTGACGCTGGGCCAGCTGGATGCGCGACCCCTGCCCACCCTCAAAAATACCATTGCCACCACGGCGATCCTGCATGCGGGCCGGATCTCGCTGGACGAGAACCGCGCCGTGGAGATTGTTCACGATGGCGACAAGTGGGAGTTGAAGTAGACTTCTGTAGTTATGATTTATGTAGATATCTGAGAACTTGAATTTGCCTGTACTTAGTACACTTGACAGGCGAAGCAAGAATCCACTCGAGTCCCTTAACCTTTCAAACGAATAAAAACTTCGTACAATCTACCCTTGGAACAAAAAGAGAATCCAACTCCGAACACCACCGCACCATCGCCATGCTATGAAGGAAACCTGCAATAGACCAGTAACAAACATAGCGCGAAAGGTCGTGGTATCATGAACAGAAAGAACGCCAAGTGAGATAAATCCACCACATATGCTGTAAGCACCAGAAGGAATCGAATCTCTTATCGGCGAGAGCTCAGCCTGACAATCCCGTCGTTGCTCTTGTGGAACTTCACCCGACAGTCGGGGCAGTACCATTTGGCGGTGCGGCTGGGAACTTCGGACAAACCCACACATTCGAGATGGAACCATTCTTTGTCGCACTATTGAATCATAATCATTAGTATGGATTGAAGATTGGGAGACAAAGGTAGCATGCTACTTACATCCTGGTTCTCACAGCAGATCATCGTCCCGAAGCTGACATCTCCGCAGAGACAATATCGCGGTTCGTTGGGGTCAATCTCCTCCAACACGCCATCTTCGTCTATGCGGATGTCCTCCCTCGTCGTACCATCCTTCTGCCCCTGTTCGCGTGGTCCGAACCTCTTCTTGGCGGGCTTCGCCTTGCGTCGGCCATAGCTGACCGCTGCCCCGCCGTCCTGTCCTGAGGATACCGGCCCGGGAGCGGGTCGCTTCCTGCGACGGCCGGCTGTCTGAGATCCTTCCGGGACAGGAGTCTTCCTTGCAGGCGTGGCACTCTTTCGACGGAGATCTTTGCCAGGCGCAAGAGCGGCTACTTCCGCCGATGCACCAGGCGCAAGGTGCCGGGAAGGAGGTCGGCTGACGGGCGGCGTCGAGGTTTTGGTTTCCTTGGTTTGAGCTGCTGCTACTGTGCTAGCCGCTGATGGTACGGGTGACGCCTTTTGAGTCTCGATGTTCACTGCGTTATCGGCCGCCGTCTCGGCGACCACGGCCTCATCGTCCTCAACAGGCGTCTTGCTCATTTTACGGCGCTTTGCTGAGCTTCGTAGAGAACCACGAGTTTCAGAGTCTGCTGGGGGAGCGGGCGCAGCTTCCGCAGCTACACTCTCGTCCATCTTCCTCTTTTTTGAGGCCCTGCTTGGCTTCCGAGCGGCCAAGGATGACTCCACCTGAAATTGGTCGGGAGTGGTTGCGTCGGTAGCTCCAGGCTCGGCAAGACGTTTGGCCTCGGCCGCTGCGGCGGCTGCGGCTGCCGCTTGTTCCCTGGCCATGTTTTCCCGCTTGAGTTTCTTTGCTTCGTTGAGTTTCATTCCACGATTGCTCAACTTGGTCTCCACCACGCCCTCGATACCGTTCGCATCGCTGAGCCGCGTCAACATTCCTGGGACGTAATTGTTCATGATATCATCGCAGTCAAGGAACTCGGTGCCATTGGCTTCTGCTTCCGCTTTGGCTTGCCGATAAGCGTCCCACCCTCGCCCCCGGAGAGCGAGTTCGCGGTGAATCATGACCTCACTCGGTTGCCAGACAGCGTTCTTCTTCATCTTCTTGCGCAGTTTCGTCATCTCCCAATCAGTCAAGCGCAGCCAGGGCAGATCTTCACTGCCAGGTTTGGCATCCTCCGGTGGCGGCTTGAGCATTGCCAGAGCATTGCTGGTCGATATCGCAGCGCCATGGCCATGACCGTTCGTAAGTGGAGCGGAGGTCCGTGAGCGGCGAGTCTGTTTCTCCTTTTTGCCCTTGGCAACCGCGAGCTCCACTGGCGCAGCAGTGCGAGTCGGTTTCGTTCCAGCCTCCACATCTGAGTGCTCGGTGCTAGCGATCGGGGAGTCCGGATGAAGGCCGGAGAGGTGATCCGCAGCAAGCTTTCCCCGCCGACTCCTCGACCTTTGTTCTGGTCTCGCCCCCGCATTTGCCGCACCGTCAAGCCGTAATTTTATGCGCGTTGTCGTCGGCGCAGCAGCCTCGCCTTTCTTTGAGGATCGACCTCGCTTATTAACCGCAGTCTGAGTCTCCGGAGGTGTAGGTTCGCGCGACTCCGGTTTCGGCAATGCATGGAGTTTCTGCTTGATGCACTCCAGCCGGTTGAAGTGTCGATCGACAACATCGTAGAGACGGCACGCTTCGGCATAGGCAGACTCGCGCGCGTTGATTGCTTGGTCAAGTTGCGCCGAGATGGTTTTGCGGAGAGTCTGCGCGTCTGGGCGCTCTTGAGAGGGAAGGTCGGGGAGCTGGCCCCATGTCTTGGTGAGTTCGTGAACATTCTGTGTAGCCTCGAGATAGCGCTCGTCCAAGCCACGTATGAGGGTGAGGGAACGGATCAGGTCAGCGGGGAGATATTCGGTGTAATCTATGAAGTCGGTAACGGTGGCCTGCGCATCGGGGTCAAAGGGACCATCGAGGATGACGCCACCGTCTTCATCGTTATAATCTGCCATAACCATGGCTTCCGTCCGAAGCTAGGAAGACAACGAAAATTCGAGGAGACGATAGCGACAAATGCAAGCTAGATAGGGTAAGAGGTATGGTAGGGGCTAGATGGGTGGCACCATCCGTGCAGCCATGAAGGTAGCGATCAAGGCAGATACATGGAATGTAGCTTCGAATCAGACCCAAAGCGGCTTGCGATCGACAATCTCAGTGGGAAAAGATGCGCAACGGGCAGAAGGACTGGAGATTGATGCGGCGTCGTTGGCCACGACCATGATTGATCAGCCGCGGTCTCGCAATGTTGTTGATCGGTCGTCGGGGAAACATTGTTCCGCCTCTATATTTACATCTGCGTCTTGCCGTCGCCGATTGTCAACAAACGGCCAAGCCATATCAAGAAGGAAATGGAATCACTTCAATTGATTTGCTACTTTATTGACCGGTAGTGCATATATGCTCTTAACCAACAGGATTGGTGTTGCGTGGTAGATGGAGGTATAGGTTCCTATGAACACTAACGTTTCTCAGGATATATATCTCGACCATGATAGTTGATGATGGATCCAAGTTTCCAGGTTATACACCCCAGCTCAATAGGCCCGTGAAAAATTGGTTCCATTGTGAAGGTTAGGATTCGGATAGAACAATAGACGAAAGAGAACGAAGCCAGTGAAGCCAATGGCAAGAAGATAGATTGGTAGCACGGTGTTTGCGAGACTCGCGAGAAGAGTGAAGATGATCGCCCATGATACAATGGAGACAATAGCTGACTGCAGTACACCTCATCATTCACTGATATATGCGCAAGGTTGCAAGCATCATGTATTGGGTCGTGGTTACCAACACGGACTCGTTTGCCTGTCCTGGTAGGACAAACGCTCCTATGTTCCCAATTTTGCCCTTACGTTTGCTCCTCCCTTCGAACTATCAACACTTGTTCACTTCAATCGTGGCAGTCATTATATTCAAAGCTTCGAGATGGGCAGAGCAGAACGCCTGAAGTTGCTCTTCAGCGAGGACGAGTCTTTGCTTCAGTTCAACACCCGTCTCAATGCTGTATCCATACCTGACTCCAAAGCAGCCGAAGGGGCTTCTTTGGCTGTAGTAACGCAGGAAGAAGTACAGTTAGAAGAAGAAGACGGCAAAGCCTCGGAATCCAATACTAAACCAGAGGAAACCGCCGAAGGGCTTGACAAGAGAACTGTCCAAGAGACAGACAAGTGCACCGCATCCACGCAGATACCAGAGACTGAAGATCCCAGCCCCCATGATCAAGAGGAGCCATCAACACCGCTGGATGGATTCTTCTGTCCCCTTATGGCAATGTCCAGATATCCATACAAGTTCGTCCGCAAAGAACTGTCACAGACGGTGGCTAGCCGATATTTCGACGGAGGAAAGTTTTGGCAGAGAGTCTGGGATCTGTGAGTTACCTGTCTTACACTCTTATAGCTGTCTACTGATGAAGAAATGTCGCAGATACTATGTCCACGTCTCTCCTCAGCTCAGGCCTCATCCACTGTTGCTCGTGCCCGCTGCTCAAGCCCAGAAGTTCATACAGGAAATTAATCGTGAGCTTGAAGTTACGCTGTCGATTCCGGAGGAAAGTGAAATGGGAATGCTCTTGGACTTCAACCTGGACGGAGTCCGTCAACCGACGTTCATCGGCCAGTGTACAAGCCGGGAGATTAAAGACGAACTGGAAGCGACCATCCCTCCGCGGACCAACTATGAGCCTCCTACCGAGATGGATGAAGCGCGTCTCGCGTACAAGCAAATGATTGAACACGGAATAAATGCGTCGAAAAACAAGAGTAGGAGCAAAGCATCCAAGACGAAGAAACAGCAGATCCGGGTTCAGGCGGAAACAGAATTGGTACAAACTCGGAAGAAAATGCATTGCTACCTTGGTCTACGATCCTACCACTCCCTAGACCTTCCGGAACTTATTGACGAAAGATCCTGGGAAGAGAGACGAAATGACGACTGCAGCATGGCGCAAAGACTTGACACAGATAGCACTGGGACCCCTCGTCTCGATATGAATAACCCAGTGATGTTTCCATTCTGGAAAGAGCCGATTTTGGTCAGCATTGACGTCGAATGCAACGAGCGTTGCCATGAACAGGTCACCGAAGTGGGCATTTCTACTCTGGACACCGTGGATCTGGTTGGCATTCCTCCCGGCGAGAACGCCGAGAATTGGACCTCCAGAATACGTTCCCGTCACCTGCGAGTCCGGGAGTATGGCCACATTGTCAACCGTCAATACGTCACAGGATGTCCGGGCAGTTTCGAATTTGGGGAGAGCGAATGGGTGTCCAAAGGGAAACTGGCCGATGTGGTTCAGGCCTGCTTCCAGCCACCGTACTCATTCGGTATCGAAGACACAGACGGTGTCCAGCTGGACAGTGACAGTGGCCCTGAGTACAAGCGCAAGAAGCGCAACCTGATCCTCGTGGGCCACAATACTTCGATGGACGTCAAGTACCTGGCAACTCTGGGCATCCCGGTCTTTGAAGATGTCACGACCGCCTTCCTGGAGCGCATCGACACTGCCGAGTTGTATCGTGTTATCCGAAGCGAGTTAAACCAGCGTTCGTTGGCAAGCATCCTCGGCGAACTAGGAATCATCGGATGGAACCTGCACAATGCAGGGAACGATGCTCGGTATACGCTTGAAGCGCTGGTGCGAATGATCTGTCGTGATACAGGCGAGGTTAGCATTGCTGCTTCAGCGGTGGAATAGATTTCTGCTGGCCTGGTAATCTCTGCTCTATGCAGACTATGATTATGTTATTGTACCCCCCTCACCCCCCCCTTGTACCCGATCAAGCCAATAGTATCTTTACTGTGAACGCTGTTACTATCAGCCCAATCACCCATGTCACAGTTTCTATTAGTTACAGCTATTATGCAAGTAGAAATGGAGACATACTAGCATCGCATTTAAACTTCCCTCTCACTCGAAAGAAATCCAAGACATAGATCATGTCATAACATGACGAGTACTATTGTCAACTCTTATAGATCAGCCTTAACAAGTCGACAACTTCAGACACCATCGCCTCCACTAAGCATGTCCGTAGCTTTTCTCTGCACTGTCTAGAACATTAAGCTTATTCATATAGATATTGTTATTAAGATGCATTGTTCCTGACTAGTTGACTACTAGTATAGTTTCCGACTGCCGACTGACGTCAAACTGATAATAATGATAATGATACCCATAATGATAATGATAAGCTCCAGCCCACCACCTTTGCCCCTCCTGCCCCTCAACCAAATACACCCACAAACCCAAACTCCATCAACCTCACTACCTCACACCCTATCAACAAGAAAAAGACGAAACAAAAACAAAATGACCACCCCACTAACAGTCCACCTCCTTAACATCTCCACCTGCCCCTCTCCAACGCAACCACCCACCCGTTCCTCCAACAAGCCGGCCGCGGGCAGATCCCCAAACCGCTCCTCTCGCAATGGCTCTCCCAAGACCGTCTCTACGCACAGTCCTACATCCGCTTCATCGGCCTACTGCTGTCCAAAATCCGACTCCCACCTCACAACCCGGACAGCTCGAAGCCTCGCACCTCGACAGCCGAGCACCGCGCCATGGAGGTGCTTATCGACGCGCTGGTGAATATCCGCACGGAGCTGCAGTTCTTCGAGGACACGGCGGATGAGTACGGGCTGGATTTAACGGCCTTGCCGGTCGCCATGGAGGACGAGGAGCGGGAGCGGGGCGAGTGCGTGCGCGGCGAGGATAAGGCCGAAGAGTCGTACTTTGGGCCGAATCGGATTACCCAGGCGTATATCGATATGTTTATGTCGGCGGGGAGTGCGGCGACGAGTCTGCTGGAGGGGATGGTCGTGCTGTGGGCGACCGAGGCGTGTTATCTGCAGGCATGGCGGTTTGCGGCGTCGTGTGGGGCATCTAGGAAAACGACGGCCGGCCCGGAGCAGGACGCCGATGGGGGTGCCCTGCGGACGCGGTTCATACCGAACTGGACGAGTCCCGAGTTTGAGGCGTTTGTGCGGCGCATCGGGGATGTGGTGGATGAGCTGGCGGGGCAGATCAAGGGGGCCGAGGAGCGTGAGAACCTGATGGGTCGCTGTGTGCAGTGGTGGCGGCAGGTGGTGTGGTTGGAGGAGAGATTCTGGCCGGTTGTCAAGGTAGACTAGATTAGGGTCTGTAGGGATAATTGATAAAAGATAGAAAGCAAATATCATTACAGTTCGTCCTAATCGTCGCGTCGTCCAGAGACCAGACCCCCCAGTACTCCGTACATGACATAGCAAGCAAGCAACCCAACGCCAGGCCTTTCGTTCCTGTTGTAAATGCATCAATCCATCCCTCTGCGAACCCCAGGCTTCTATCCTGTGGACATATAAAGAAAGACTCCGGACGGCCGGATGTGCTGCCAGAGCCCGACGCGAAAGAAAGCAAAGCAGAAAACAAACACACAGCAATGCATCAGTTTGCAACATGTCAGACTTTTTGAACCAGCAAATCTTAGTCGAATACAATCGGTATAGGTGTACATAGAATACATAAGTCATCCATTAGCGAGCGGATCAAGAGGTCGCTGCACTCGCGCGAGCGGTATTGCTCAGTTGCCGATGGTATGATCCAATCGGCTGGAAACCTCTGTATAGACACCATCAGTATCGGCCATTCATCAGACCAAAAGCAGGGGAACAAACCTGGCGAGATCGAAACCTCCTTCTTCGTCATCATCATCCGCATCCGGCCCCGCCGGCGCCATCGGTCGCTCCGACTTGACCGCCCCGTTGACACCCGGTCTTGCTTCCCCGAGGTCTCCTGGCTCGGTTCGCAGCGGCGGAAGGGTCCGTCCGTGTCCGAGACCGTTCGATGTCCCCGGCTTACTGGGACTGACCAGATTCGGCGGCGGAGGACTACTGCTTGGGAAATTGGCGATGCCATCTCCGACTTCGCCCTTGAGCGGACTCATGTCGGGCACTGGTCGTGCTGGTGTGCTACCAATGTCCGCGAATTTCCAGAATTGTGCAGGCGAGCTCATCGGCATGAACTTGGACGGGATTTGGGCTGTGCTAGGAGGCGGAAGTCGAGGCTGCTGCCGCTGCGGGGCCGGCGTAATCATCGACGACGGGCCATCATCGTAGTACGATGACGAGAGAACGGGCGGCGAATTCACCACATTGTCAGAGAGTCCATAGGCACGAGTCAATGCGCTGCCGGCCCCGTGATTCTTGGTGGCAGAACGTGTAGGCAACGGGGAAGGCTCCTCGTAATCCCGAGCACTGGTGTTGCGCAGAGGATGGTCGACACCACGAGCGACCCGCGAGCCCCGTTCCGGCGTGTAGGCCTCCACGGGTGCTACGGGGAACGAGCTAAATCCTGGGGAGGACACTGCCGGCGATTTCTTGCCATTGAAGACGTTTTCGGAGTGGTTGTTAGTACCCCGCGACACAGGCTCTTTCGTGGCAGGCGACGACGGGGCGGAAGATTGAGTAGTTCCCTTTCGGAGCTGCTTCTTCCAGTACTCTTCGCGGTATTCCGCGGCAATCTGCCACTTCATTCCTTTTCCTGGCTCGTCTGTACGCCGAGGGACTTTTTGGAACGCCTTGTTCAGCGATAGATTGTGACGGATGGAGTTCTGAAGTTTGTCAGTTGTCAGTTGCGGGCAGCGACGGTAAAAAGAAAAATGAAGACGACCTACCTGCCATCCGCTCTGAGAATGCCGGTAAAACGCGTATTTGTCCATGATCCAATTGTAGATGCTGTTCAGAGTGAGCTTCTCCTCCTCGCTGGAGAAGATCGCCTGCGCAATCAGGGTGGCGTAGCTATATGGCGGTTTCAGATCCTTCGCCGAGTCTTTGCTGTAGTCAATCTCCTCCGTGCTTTCCATCATCATACCGCGGTTATAGAGCGGCGACTGTTTGGCGGTGCGCGGACCGACGGTGTCTGGCGAGCGCGGCGGGGGAGTCACCTGGCGTTTGAGGAACTGCGGGCGGGGGCAAGCGATGGCTGACCGCTGGCGCCGGCTGAAGCGGTCGCTGAGGTCTGGTCGTTCATCACCGCGCTCGATTGCGATGGCTGGGGATGCGAGTGCTGGGTGGGATCCCAAGACAGCAATTCTTCTTCACCGTTGGCGATGCGCTGCGCGCGCGCCACGAAACTGGGATGGATATTGGCCTTGTCTCCAGGAGTGACGAACATCATCTGGGTGTTGGCGATCTCGATGATGTCGCCGCAGGAGATAATCGCATCGGTCCCGCGCTTCAGAATGACATTGTTCAGCCGAACCCCATTGCGTCCATTGACGCGGATGTGCCAGGAAGGGGTCTCCCCGCCGTCATAGAAGATCTCCGCGTGCAAACGAGAGACGAACTTGCTCGGACCCAGATCGACATGGACGTCCGGGAGGGCCCTTGCAGCGATCGTAACGGGACTCGACTGCTCATCCAGCTTCGGCTCGCGATCCGGTTCGCGTCCGATGTTGACATGCAGTGTTTTGACGTAATAGGTCCAGTTGCGGCCGGCGATTTTCGCATATGCGCGGATACTCTGCGTGTTCTCCGTCTTCTTGTTCGAGTGGTCCCGTGACACGCGCACTTCTTCCCGGGCGACATTCAGACAGGATATGACCATGTCCACCAGGTCCTGGTTGGCGGACAGTTCATTTTCGGGGGACGAGTCGTCGGCCTCATCGGCGGATTCTTGCGCTTTGGCGGGACGAGCAGGAGGGGAAGGGCGGTGATCGACCTGTGGGAGCAGAATCAGTAAACAAATTCATCCCGATCGCAAAAAATAAGCCTAAGTAGGGTCACTTACCTTGCGCTTCTTATTCGAAGGCCGAGATGGCGACGAGTCCGGAGCCTCCGCGTCTGATGTTTCCTGTAGTTGGATTTCCTTGCGCCGCGCGCGGCGCCGATTCGATAGAGGCATTTCTTGTCAATATTGTTTGTTGATTTGTTGTGGTTTGGTAGACTAAGCCGATGTAAACAAATATGTTTCACAAGGCTGATCGACTATCAACCACGAGAAATAGGCGTACTTTGTTTTCGATGATCTCTAGTAACGGCGTATGATGCAGGTTGGGAAGGACGAAAGCAGAGGCGGATAGACGGAAGCAGAGAAGCAAAAACAGAGAGGCGACCAAACGAACAGAAGGGAAAAACCTAAGCCGGGAAAATCCCAGTGTTCGTCGCAAACTCGGACGAACTGCGTGAGAAGAAATGAATCCAAGGAACTGATGACGGGTTTGCCACCGCGCAGAGAGAGCGACGCGATCTGTGAGTGGCTGGTGGGAGGGGTGGGAAGCCAGCCACTTAGTCGGAGGGGGAAAAAAAAAGTAGACGTGCGTTAAGTAAGGCTTTTGAAAGGATAGGTTTAAGTTGGACAAAAGGGGTCTTGATTAGACAAGGGTTTGTGTCCAATGTCAGGGCAGGGTAAAAAAAAAAAAAAAGGAATAGGTAGATAGAGGATGGAGAGAAGAAGATGTTGGTGATGATGATGAGATTGATGATGATGTTGCTCGTGATGGTTGATGGCGCAGTGATGATAACGCGCCGATTGTGTTTGGGGCGTGACCTCTTGCGCGTGGGGAAAAAGAACTCAATTATATCACCATTCACCAAGATACAAACATAGGATGAACTTGTTGATCCTGTAGAACAAGTAGATAGAGGTCAAAATATTTTGATACCGAGGATTCCTCCAGTCTTAAAGGTGCTACTCGCATCCAGTCAATACCACCATGCCCCATCGATGGATCCTCCCCAGCCGCCGTAAACAGAAGCGAGGGTGGAGCACGATGAAGGAATGGAGGAAACATGGAAAGTCAATGTTCCTGATTTGTTGCTTATTTGAGAGAGAATCCATGCCAATCTATCCAGACAAGCCGAAGACCACCCTCGAAGATCCAGTTTGGCTATACGGAGAGTTGACGAAGAGAAGAACTACATAGTAAATAAGGTATTAACCCGTACCGATTATCAGCAAGACATCCCTCGTGCTCATGCTGATCACCCACTTATTGATAATCACATCGAATTACAAACAGAACACCCTCATCATCTCACGAGTACCGACTCTACTGAACAAACCTGACTCAAAAATAAATCAACCCGGTCGTCAACATCATCGCCTATCGTCGACAGTTCACCTGAGCTTACTCTGAGTAGACTGGGAAATCGATCCAATGGAACATTACCGGATCAGGCAAAGGCCAAGCGGAATTGAAGCCTGGAACGTTCCGGAGAACAACCATTACTAGACAATTTGTAAACACTTGAAGAACAAGAAGCCAGTGGGAGCAATCAATTGTCTGTTTCTGTCAAAGTAGTATACTTCCTTTATGGTATGCTTATTTTCCATCTCCCCAGATCAGCTTAGTTAGTTCAGTCCCTGACATGAACTGCTCCAGTCAGGTAAGGTACCTGCGCACTATCGACTGTTTGCGTCACTCATTCCGGATGTGGCTTAGCGTGGCTCGTGGGAGAGAGCGTCGCCTCGTGCAATGTCAAGCAGTTGAACTATGACCTCAGGAGGATCAGGAGTCAGTAGCAGGATCAATAATTGACACTGTAGCATTCTCCCCATGGTTACACTGGATGCAAATCAGTGTCTTCATTTTATCCTACTTTGAGCCAACTCTCTCGATGTTGCCTTGTTTTGCACTCCTCCCACCAGAGTCCACAGTGGAGATTCCATATACAGCACTGGTCTTGTCCTCTGGCAAAGTGCCGTCCATGCAAGCAAACAAAAAGCTGAAAACGGTTGTTGACCGTTGAGAGCAAGACGGACAGGCCAATAGACTACATGCTACCTTACCGAGTACACTAGTTACGTCAATAAACACAAGTCCATTGAGTTATGTTCTGAAAAAAATGGACCTTTCATACACAGCACAAAGAAGAGTCCCAGCCGGCAGAGAGAGGAACAGTTAGAGAATGAAATATGGTAATCACACACAAGACGAACTAGCCCAGTCCGAGAATTGAAAAAAGAGACAGAAACGATAGGAAAGTCCACACCCGGTCAACTCCGTAGAAAGAGAAATGAGAAGGCTGGATCGACATTGGCAAAGAAAAAGGAAACCTTAAAAAGACAGGGGAATCCGGTGACGACAACAAATAACCCACGATTTAATGGTGCATCTTGGTATCTTCATCGCCATCCAATCCATGAAGGGTGGGATACATCACACCGTGGTTAGACTCAGCCTTGGCTGCGGGAGGCGCAGAAGGCTTTTCGGTAGTGATGGGTGTATGACTCGTTTCCACACCGTCCATGTGTCCATCGTGCTTGGTATCCGGAGAAGCGGCGACCGAAGTATGGCCATCGGAGTCGGAGTCATACTCGCCCCTTTCCAGACGGGATGCAATGTAGCTACGCAGATACTCCAGGAGGCGAACCTTCTCCACCCACTGCGAGTCGGCACGCTCGGCCACCTCCGTAGCTGCCTGAGCGGTGCGCAGAGCGGCCTCGGCCTCAGACGGGCTGCTCGAGTGCAGTGCAGGATCAATGAGGTTAGCCGAAATGCGCACTGGGGAATTGGAATCCGACGAACGGGCTTTGCCGGTAGGCGTGCGTTCGCCGTCCTCCTTGCCGTCGTGAGAGGTGTCCATCTGGATGGACAGGCGACGCTCTTCGGGACGAGCACGCTGCAAAGTGCCTCCAGTGTACCGGCGACGATCATCATCAAAGATGCCGCTGAGGGTAGAAGGAGGAGCAGCACTCGACGCAGTGGGGTAGCCACCCGCCAGATGGTCGGCCATCGTGGCTGATGGAAGTCTGGGGTACATGCTCGAGCCACCATCATGGTGAGGCGGCGAAACGCGATGAGCGGAGGAAATGGAGATTGGAGAACGACCAGAGGTGTACGACTGGGCGCTGGATGGAGGGGTTAAAGCCGGAGTGCCAGTGGGAGGCGAGTGCGTGGCAGGGTTGCTCATGGAAGAACTAGCAGAGGTGGTGGCCACAGTGTGGCTTGGAGGAAGCTGCGTGGGGGAGAGTGTGTAGTGCGGTAGCTCATGCCGCCATGAACGTAATGGGCTCCAGGCTGTGCGACACCAGCAGCAGCAACATGATCGTCATTCTCGTAGATGGTATCCTGCATCTGCTGCAAGAATTGATCGATGTTGATCAGGTCGTTCTTCGTGCGGATGTTGCTCATTGGGGGAGATGGTAGACAGGAGCACCGTGTCCACCAGGGCCGTAGCCACCACCCACGGCCACCGGCGCTGGCATGGGCTGGTATTCAGGCACAGGGCCACCGGTCAGGATAGGGAGAGACAGATTCTGAAGACCAAGGAGGCGTTGGCCAACCGCTGCGTAAGAGTGAAGATCGAATTGACGGCGTTTCAGATCGCCAAAGAACTCGTTCAGAGCGTCGTAGCCCCTCTTCTTGGATTCATACGAAGCATGGCCGTCGTGACCGTGGTTGAGAGCATAGTATACGTTTCCGTAGGAAGGATTGGACGGCTGGTGTGGGTGATGAGACGAATAGTATTGCGGAGCACCGTGGGCGTATCCTTGGCTGGGCACTGCATTCAGAGATGGCTCGAAATAATGGGCGGCAGCAGCATAGCCTGATCAAGAAGGATCATGTCAGTTCCGAGATTGCAGAGAGAGAATCGGCATTCGTCATTACCTTTTCCAGCTCCATGAAACATCATATCCGGATTTCTGGCTCCCGGCTCGGGCGACCGCACAAGCACCGAATCATCGGCATGGGTCTTCACGTGTTTCTTGAGATCCTGGGGACGCTTGAATGCTTTTCCACAAAATTCACATTTATGAGGCTTCAGAGGAACGTGGACACGGATGTGAGACGTGATGTGGTCACGCTTAACAGTTGTGGTGCGGCAGCTTCCCCACTGGCATGTCAGATTGAGGTTATTTGTGCTCTTTCGACCGACGTGACGCTCGCAGATGTGATCCTGGTTCTGTCAGTCTTGTTCAAGTAGCCCAGGTGGTGTTTGTGTTGTCCGGTTGAGGGGTGTTTTTTGTCGAGGTTGAGGCGACTGAAGAGATGCAGGGTATGAAGAAATGACAAAGACTTACATAAAGTGTCTCTGCAGAAGGACATTTCTCAGAGCAACCCTGCCACAAGCAGGAAAGTTGTTCATCACTTGAAGGGGTTCCGTTCATTTGGGGAGCACTAACAGCCGCGGTCGCAGCAGCCGCGGTCGCAGTCACAGAAGCTGGAGGGGTCGAAGTAGACACAGGAGCTGGGGTTGTAGCTGCAGGCTGCGACGAAGGCTGCTCCTGCGAGATGGGTGCAGGCATAGGAGCTGCCGTTGCCGAAGGCGAAGCAGTTGTGTTGTTGTTGGTTGCGTTCTCTTGGTGTTCAGACATTGTGCCAAGACTGATTTCTTGTCCCTTTTCTTGGGAGCAGCGGAGAATGAAGGGAGGATATCAACGCCAGTTAACTGCGATGAGTCGCGTTTCTCAACACAAGGAGAGAAAGGGAGAAGGGTAGAAGGGTTAAAATGAGTCAGAGAATCAATTTATCGGAGGAGCGACGGACGTCGTCAGCCAGAAAATGATCGGCAAGACACGGTGAATCGCCGCTAAAAGACAACGCAAAAGAAGCTGTAAAGTCGTGTACACACGGCACACGTAGACAAGAGTTCTTAACGAAGTAAGATAGGAATAAAGGGAGAAAGAGGATGGAGATGGAGGAGGGAAGGGGGTATGGACGGATAGAAGAGAGGAAAGTCTTGGAAGAGAGGAAGAGGAGGCAGAGGGGGGGGAATGCTTGGGTTCTTGTCCTTGGGCCGGATGGCAAGTAGAAAGGACAACAATTGCGGGAAAAGGAGGGGGGAATAACAGCCCAGAAAGTCGTACGGGAGTAGACTATCTAGGAGAGCAGGAGAAGTAGGATGCCCAGAAGCCCAGAAGCCCAGAAAAAAGCGCATTGCACAGCCGGGCGGAGGGACAACCCAAGACAGGGACAAGACCGGGCCAAGAGCCATGCGGGCCCAAGCCTGAGTGGCGTCGAGCCACGACACATTACTGGCTGAGGCGAAAATTGCGGGTGGGCTGTGCTGATCGCTTAGGTTAGGCAAGTTACAGAGTACATTGCACCCGATTGGTAACAGCCAGTGGTACTGCTCCGTCCACGCCCGTTTGGCTCTTGTATTGAGTTTCTCCGTGACCTGGAGGATAGATCAGAGGAGTTCTGTGATTCCGTCATAATGCACATATTTTGTGAGCAAAAATCACAGCCCGGTTTGAGCATGATCTTGTGAAAGTTGTCAGTGTCTAGGAGGAAGAATTTTCTACAGAAGAAGATCCCACAACACTGAACAAAAGGTCGCTTGCCGGATGAAGCGATTGATCCGATCCGAGCAGCTCACCCGCGCTAAAGGCATTATCAGAACAAAACCATACCAGGCGTTACCGATAAATTACGAATTCCGTCTACCTCCAAAAACCCCGCATCCTTGCTAGACTCGAAGGAGCAATAATTATTCTGAGAGGTAAGATGTTCATATTATGGGTAATCATAATGACCTAGGATTCCAAAGCTAATAAGATTACAAGCGAGTCGCGATGGAAATTCATTACCTATTCTTGACAAGAAGACCAAGACACCAAGAATTCCTCTCCCAGTTGCACCACAGAACGATGGCCACTCTCTTGGCAACTCGTCTCCCGCCCCGTGGATGGGGAGTCTTGGGACTTGGAAGTTGAGGTGGCCAGTTTACGGAGTACCCATCATCAAATCACTACTGTCTTGAGACATTATTCATCCTCTGACACATGTAAAACTGCAGAGACGCCGACAGTGGTCATCTCCATGATTAGTTTGGATTAATCCACCATTCAAGTCACCGGTGTCGGGTCTTCGTCGTGAGCACCAAATTGGGGAACGTCCGAGACAGCCCCGGTCTTATCCGGGGTAAGATACTTCTAGTACTGAGAACTTGGCATGTTATTATTGACAGCAAATCAATCCTGCTCGTAATAATGCTACGTACCTCAATATAATCCTAGACCTAGTCTCCTCCTAGGTACCTTAGTCTACTATGTATGTTGAGCAGCGGGTTTAGTAGGGATTAGCAGTAGTATTTGCAACAGATCCGTCGAGGATATGACCACATGCTCAACCATTGGAGTACTTCTGATTCAGTTTGGTCGAGCGAAAATCACTAGTATCTATCTGTCTACAGTGACTACGAGTAGTTAGTCGATTAGGTATTGGACGGCCTGATCACATGGTATGTCTACCCTACCGTCATTCCTAAATTTTGGTGTGCTGTGTGCATGTCAAGCCTTATGAGTCGACACCTTTGCCCTCCGAGGGACGGTGAGGCAGTAGTAACAAGCCTCTTTGCAACAGCCTAATAATAACATCAATTTATCCCTGATCCCAGGCAACAACATATTTTCATCTCACTCCGAAGAAACATACGAATTTCTAAGGTAGACAGTATGGCTTAGTCAGACACAAGGAATTGTGTCATTAGCAATACGGAGTAGACCGTGCATGAAGCTGTACAGGATTGTTCAGTTGTTCGACTCTAGCAACACGTCACTCATCTGCTGTGAGCCTTGGATCAGAACCTTTGTTCTTCTTCTTTGTCAATAGCTGTACACTGATTTCAAACAGAGGACTTTGCATACTCAAGCATGATGAATTCAGAATATCCAGCAGAGCGGTGAAAGAGGATCGGATCCACCAGTCCTCTCTCCATGCTCCGTATATCACCAGCCGTCCTCATACACGCGACGATGACAGTCAATTGTCCATCACAACCGGACTGAAAGACCTCAAGTCTGCTCTTTTTGGATTCCTGTCGTATAATTGAACCTTCATTATCAATGGGTTGATCAGTCTTTACTTCGTTTTCTTATTATCAGCCTTTTTCCTACGTCAGCACATAGACCTGTATATCTTCACAATTGTACATATACCATGTCAATTAAACTCTCTACCGTCCTCTCCTCCCTCTTCTACCTCCTCCCCTCTATCTCTTCGTCCTCGCCCCCTCCTCCGCCAATTCTTCCCTCCAGAAGAATCCTCCCTCAGCCCATCCACCGCCGACTACCTCTTCCCCAACGGCGCAAACGACCAAGACGCAGATGACCTCGCCCCCTCCCAAGCCCTCAACCTCCTCGACGACACCTTCATCAGTATCGACGACGGAATCACACCCGACTGCCCCCTCGACCCAACCTACCGCATCCACCTCCTCTCCCGCAACCCCCTAGTCATCTACATCGACGGCTTCCTCACCACCTCCGAAGCAGACCACCTCGTCGACATCAGGTACTTCTCATCATCCAATTCCCACAACCACCACAACACCCACTAACGGATACGAAAAAGCGTAGGAAAATACACCCCCAGCATAATCTACAACGGCATCACCGAGCGCATCGACCCTCCACCCGGCTCTCCGACCGCGCCCTGCTCGACCGCGACCCCACCGTCCGGTGTATCGAGGACCGCGCCCGCGCCTTCCAGGGGTGGCGCCCACACCTGTACATCGAGCGCATGTGGGCCCAGCGCTACAACACCTCCGGACACTACAGGCACCACTATGACTGGGCGGGTTCCGTCGCGCGCGGCGGCGACCGCGCCAGCACGTTCATGGTCTACCTCGACGACAACTGTACCGGTGGGGGGACGAATTTCCCGCGCTTGCGTATGCCGGTTGATAGGCGGTGGTGTCGGTTTTTGGAGTGTCAGGACGAGGATGCGTCGGAGCTGGGGGATGGTGACAAGGACAACAAAGCGCAAAAAGGAAAGGACAGGGCCAGGGGGACGGGGGAGGGCATCACGTTCAAACCTATCAAGGGGAATGCCATTTTCTGGGAGAATCTGAGGCCCGATGGGACGGGGTATCCCGAGACATGGCATGCGGCGCTGCCCGTCACGTCGGGAACGAAGGTTGGTCTGAATATTTGGAGCTGGTACCAGCCGCCGCGGAGGAGTTGATTCAATTCTAATAGAATGTATATACTGTAGACTAGACCAAAAAGCCAGATAGGTTGTAAATCGGATTGAATAGAATATGTGTAATTGACATTAAACTACCAGTACTAACCTAATAGAATAAAGGTACTCCCGTATATACCAGTCCTGAACGCCAAACACATGACATGACCGTACACTAGTTTCTCATTATCTCGTAGAATCAAACCCGAATTTTTTAGACCGTATCATAAGCTGCACCATTCATCAACTTCCCACATTCATCCACTGGATCCAGTCATCGTTGGCGAGCGTGTTTGGTCGGCAGGGATCGCCGAAGATATCGTCTAGAGGGAGAAACCCCATGTCAAGGCCCGCTCCCATTTCGTTGTTCTCGTTTATTCCCATGCTAAAGCCCTGTGATTCAGTTGTCGTCGGTACCTGTTGCGGCCCTGACGAATCCTGAGGGAACGTCTGTGGCTGGAAGTTGTATCCTTGCCACATGAAGTTCTGATTGGGGATAGACACCAGGTCGGGGCTGTTGACCGCCTCGGTGCCGCTGCCAGGAGTCGAGCTATGCGACACGGGTGACTGCAGCCGCGCTTGGTTCATGGCCTGCTGCTTCTGCGGTGCGACACGATGCGGGAGTGTGGCATTGATGCCGGTTGACGTTCCATTATTGAAAAGCGGGAAAGTGCCAAAGTTGTCAAACGTCGGAGTGGACACCGCGCCCATTGGTGAATCATTCGACGGTAACCCTTGCGATGACGGGTCGAATCCGAACTGATTCGCTGACTGTAGACCCAGTCCGTCGACGCGGAAATGGTCATCTTCCAATGTGGACATTGGTTGAGTGGGATAGGCAAAGGGATCGTCGGATGGGAACATGATGGGCATGAGGTCCGGCAAATTTCCAGTATTGGCCAACTGCTGTGCTGAGAATTGCCCCGACGAGGGCTCTCGCGAATGCATCCCCGGCATTGGAGATGCTGTGGTCGTTGCGCGAGCTTGATCGGCAATAAGGGGCTCGGGCGTCGTCGTGGTGGTGGTGTCGGTACGGGGCTCCGGGGTAGACGGAGGCCATGTTGGGGTACTGACTTGGGTATTGACTTGGCTCTGATACAACATCTTGCCACTGCCAAAATTATGGCTATCGTCCAAGCTCTTGGGTGTATTGCTCGCCTCGGCCTTGGACTGTCGGCTCAGTAGCTGCAGCGGAAAAGTACTAGCTCTCTGCGGAGGCGCTATCTCCGGCGCAGATTGCTGACTCTTCACATTTGCAGCAGGCCGAGAGACAGCAGCCGGCGCTGGACGCTTGAGATTCACAGGCTTCACCGAGCTCTGGCGGTTTTTCAAGAGCTCAGGGAGGTTCTTGAACAGAGAATTGAGACTCTGCGAGCAGCGATCTGCCGCCAAACTCTTCTTCGCCAGTCCGGCCAGAGTATTCTTGCCCTCCATGGCGTCTTTCAAAACACCGTCCTTGGCCGTCGGCGAGTCAGGATTCTCGAGTACAAAGAAGATCAAGGACAAGATGGCGAAATAGGTCGTGTACATGGTAAACCAGAAGGACCCATTGAGCAGTCCTCGCTTGTGCATGCCAGTCGTAATATGGACAATATTTCGTGAGACGCTCACGCATGCGGCGGCGCAAGCGTATGACCGTCGGTCCACACCTCGAGCTTGTGACCCGCTAGACACATAATGCAAGAAGGGTCGATACATGACAACCTGCACGTGAGCATAGCTGATTCGCAACAGTTGTCGGATACTGTAAACGATTAGTCTCAGACAGCAGACGCCATAGAGAAAGAGGTGCATACCGTTCTAACTGGGGAGATACCTCCGTCCCCGGACGGAGAGCTGCAGGCAGTTCCTCCATCCAGGTCTGCAAGTCGCGCTCGATTTCGCGAATCTTGGAATGACTCACCATGTAGCGCATATCCGACTTGGACGGATGCAGAGCATTCTTCACTGGATATATGTACTTTACCACCTTGAGAATGATGTTGGACAGCCGAGTGTGGGCGTTGGCCCCTGCCATCAAGGGCGTATAATCCGACGGCATGGGCAAAATACCATCCTTGGTGATAAACTGCCCATCAACATCCATAGGGTACTCCTGATCGATGTCGTCATTGCTCAACATCTGGGGCAGCCCCAGCAGGGTGCTCACGTAGACGTCCATCTTCCGCACGACCCAGAAAATGCGTTTCCGCAACTCTCGCTCGATGGGGTTGAAGTCGGCGGCTACAGAGCGATGCAGGCCTAAGCGCAGAGCCGAACGGAGCGCTATTCCCACATACGAATAGCACGTACTTAGTTTGGCGGAGGATTGTAAGAACAAGACCATGAAACAAACTGCTTGTAACGAGGTCAAATCACGGCAATCGGTGATGTCCAGGAGTTGTCGGCCAGCCTTGAAATATTGAAATCTGTACCGCCGAAAATCAGTTGCGGCCGATAAGCGACTTTTTCAAAACTCAACTTACCCTTGACCAATAGCGCCTTCATAACCTGCAATATCCAGGGTACCAGCCCCGTCATCTGAGAACAAGCAGCCAACTGATATGACGATGTACAGAAGCGGCAAGAACGAATTCTCTTCGTTTCCAAACTGCTCCGGAGGGGTATCATAGATTCGATCTAGCATGGCAAAGAAGCTGGGCTCGTGCACGAACCGCATAAGAGAGCATCCATCGTACAAAGCGTGGTGGCACAGACGCTGTGCAACATCCCGGGGGGCAGATCGTGAGTGGGGGGTAGCGAGGAATCCGACGGAGACTCGGACGTCGACTTGGGGCTATCCAACATCTGAGAGAGGACCCGTGTTCGGAACGACGGGACCGGCATGTCTGAAGCCCCAAGTTGCTTGCGCAACCGTTGCAGGAAGATGATACCGGAGGTATGTCCATGATAATCCCAATGACCCTGGTCATCCAAATCCAGGCAGCCTGAATTCTCAACCATAGACTCCAACAGTGACTCGTCACCGGCACCACCGTCCGCTGCGTCCGTTGTCGGTTCAGGAGCAGTCGAGGTTTTAGGGGCGCTTGCGGTTGGCATTGGCGGCTGCGGTTTTTCCTTTTTGATGGCGGCCAGCATCTGCTCGGTCGCATGCACGTCAAACTGAGGGTCGTCCAGGTTCAGGTCCGGTAGAACCACGCGGAGAAGGGCTTCGGCTTTATGCAAACGATTCTCGAGTGCCTCGACATATTGCGGCGCAGGGTTTCGGCGCCGGTTCGAGGGTTGATCATACGTACATTCTGGTGCGGTATCAAGTCAGAAGAACCGAAGATCCATGGTTATGAAGGCCAAATTACCATAGCTATAGACTGTGCAATGCGTACACGGCTGTTTCCCATCGCACTTGATTTTCTTGCGACGACATTCATCGCAGGCGCGAGTCACTCGGCGCCGCTTCTGCATGGGATGAGGCTCCTTCGATTTCGAATCGGAAAGATGGCCATGACCGGAAGCGACATCCTGAGGATGACCAGGAAGAGCGGATGAATTCGAGTCGTCATAGTTGTAAAATTGTGTATCTGATGCGGATGCGGGATCGTCCTCGTTAGAGGTCTCGGCGGGGGCGCCGGCGAACGGGCTGGAATTGGCGGCCATTCTTGACGATGACGTTGGCGCAAAGGTTCATGCAAGGGGGAGAATCAGATAGATTTGGAAGAGGAAGAAATAACAGCCCGCGTGGCGATGCAAGACCTATCGCACACGAGGGGCAGATCGGAGGATTACCACAAGAGTCATGGAAGGCACACGGAGGAGTGTGTCTGAGTAAGAGAGAGAGAAAAGCCGAAGAGGGATGAAGTAATCTCTGCGGCTAAAACCAATAAAGAGTCCACAATGGAACTTTGTTCTTAGGTGCTGGGATTCCAATCCCTTAAGGGTCGTTATTTCCCGGCGACAAGAGCCAGACAGGCCTTAAGTCCGACCGAACAATAAGTGATCCGACCGAAGAGGGATGAGTCAAAATCAACAAAGAAGGGCGTCACACTCGGCCTGAGTAGTAGTAAAAATATCGGCAGGATTATGGATGCCCAAGAGACACTCAGGACCGTAAAAATGCTACTAGAATAATAGTCGAATAAAAGACGGCGATCCCCAAGTTTAGTCGGCGTCCCACTTGTGGCCTTCTTTTCCCTTCTGACTGCTTATGCTTCCGTGGTTGGTCAGTGCTTCCGCTTTCAGTAGAGCAGGGAAAATGGCGCAAAAAGGATGAGCATAAGAGATGACAAACCAACAGGGATGATGTTGGATAGAGAATACGGCAATGCCGGAACTCAACAAGTAATTTCGCGCAGTATAGAGCTGTAGATAGATCGAAGGTACTGGGACAAGGGTCGGAAAAGTATTCACGCACCTTTGGGCGTACAAACTGGTCCAAGCAGGAAGTTTCACAACTCGGATGAACTGATCGGGCCCGAACCAGTCTAAAAGAAGAGAAGGATGAGAGCGATAGACGACGAGACAGTGACAACGGCAGAGTGAGATGATTAGGATGATTATCTCCCTGATGATCAACGCAACAGGGCTGATCTCACAAACAAGACACCGAAGGCTTTGGCTAAGACCAGTAGTGTCAGCATCGAATGTTCGAAGAAGCCTCGGTAGATAATTGCGGTGAAACTAGATACCGAATCTTTGGAGAGAAAAAAAAACCTGAGACGCCTTTAGAGAATCTGATAAGCTAGAAGCTGCGAACAAAAAAGACTGGAGGGTCCACTGTTCTAGCAAAGATGGAGAGATGGGTCTGAATCACCCACACTGCTCCGTAAATAGTTACATACTGAGTCTGCTGACTTACTGTAGGTTGTTAGTTACCTCTCTAAGGATTATTAATAAGAGAGAGAGTTGTTCTATTGTCCTAAGTAACAATAAAAAGCATGCCGATAGGGAGCTATGTGTGTGAATAATCCTAGCATGAATGAATGCACTAAAATGTACTCCGTACCATACAGTAACTATCTGCTGCTTATTATTCAGTTGTCTTATAAAAATCATCGCATGCTTAGAGAAGGTTTATAATCCGAGTCCTAATCCTAATTCTAATCATAGTCTAATCATAATCATAGTTTCATTGGAGGAATTATACTTCGAATGGTCGCCACCTGAGCCAACTATACATACTTTATGATCCCTCAGTCTTAAGGTGATTATGACTGACCCCAGCGAAAGACCGTACACGATCCCCCTAGCCAGCTAGACAAGGAGAAGACATATCTCAACGACTTGAATGGTTTATAACACACGATGATCTCTGGAATTTGCTCTTCAGTTTAATCTATTATGACCTTTTTACTTGTCACCCTCTGTTGTGTCTTGGCCACTCTAGGATCCTTTCTGTTTGGTTACGATTCGGGGGTGATTGGGTCAACTCTCGAACAAGAGGCCTTTCTGCAGCATTTCCATCACCCTTCTGATGCAGCCACTGGGGGCATTGTCTCTTCATATAATGGTGTTTCATCCCGCTACTGCTTTTTGGACGAGTATTAGATCTAACATGCCACAGGAGGAGCCATTCTGGGGTCCATCGCGGTCCCCTACATCTGCGACCCCTTTGGCCGCCGCCCAGTCATGTTCGTAGGTGCTCTGCTGGCCGCTCTGGGTGCTGCTCTCCAGGCTGGAGCTACGCACATTGCCATGTTGATTGTTGGCCGTTTGATTGCTGGCTTTTCTATTGGCTTGATGTCGACCACCATTCCGATCTACTGTGTGAGCGCTGTCCAACACCCATCCTACACACTCGACATGCTCTTCCTGCTAACTGACTCCAGAGCGAGGTTTCTCCCGCACATATTCGTGGCTTTCTCGGTGCGATGCAGCAGTGGATGCTTGGGCTGGGTGTGGTCGTCGCAGTATGTCCCTCTGACTCTCATCTTCCGAACAGTCTAATCGCTGACTGCTGTAGCAATGGGTCGGATATGGCTGCTCCCTGCACACAGGCGCCTTTTCCTGGCGGTTCCCTCTAGCCGTGCAAGCCGCCCCCGCCGTTATCCTCGGCATCGGAGTCTGGTTTCTCCCAGAGTCGCCACGATGGCTGATTCAAAAAGGCCACAAGGACGCCGGCAAAGCCGTCCTCAACCGCCTGCATCTCAACCACACCCGCACCAACACCGACCTCGTCGAGTCCGAGTTCACCCAGATCTGCGAGAGCATCGCCTCCGACTCCCGCACCGTCGTCTCCTCCTGGCGCCAGCTGCTCTTCTCCTCGCCCACCTGGCGCCACCGCGTACTGCTCGCCTGCGGCATCCAGGCCTTCACCCAGTGCTCCGGCATAAACGTCATCCAGGTCTACAGCCCACGCATCTACCGCTCGCTCAGCCTCCCCACCTCCACCACCCTCATGATCACCGGCGTCTGGGGCGCCCTCGCCCAGTTCTGGAACACCGTCTTCCTGCTCTTCATCGACCGCGTCGGCCGCCGCAAGCTGCTCATCCCCTCCCTGCTCGGCATGGGCGCCGCCCTCTGCGTCGAAGCCACCCTCGCCCGCTACTACGGCAACTTCGCCCCGGACGCGGACTCCTCGGTCCCTTCCTCTCCTGCAGCCCTCCGCGCCGCCATCGCCATGTTCTTCGTCTTCTCGCTCTTTTTCACCTCGCTCGGCCTCATCTCCTGGCTGTACCCCGCCGAGATCTTCCCCACCGCCATCCGCGCCCGCGGCTCGTCCATCGCGACCGCCACGAACTGGAGCCTCAATCTCGTTTTTGCGCAGTGCTCGCCCATTGCGCTGACCACGCTGCAGTACAAGTACTTTTACTGCTTTGTTGCGTTCAACTGGGCTGCGGCGGTGATTGTCTGGGCGTTTTACCCGGAGACCGCGGGCAAGTCCCTCGAGGAGGTGGGCGAGGTGTTTACTACCGGTACGCCGGCTCGGCGGCGTCGCAGGGCCCGGTCGTGTGGGTTGGACATGCGGGAGGATGTCAAGGCGGGTGTTACGTTGCAGGTTACACAGGGGAAAGAGTTTACAACCGGGATATAAATATGCAGTGTAGTGTTTTGAAGATAAAATTGTAACTGAATAGAGAGAAATATATTTAGACATCACCAACGACGCCGTAGTCACATGCCGTATCCTGTTTGTACAAACCCACCAATGGACATTATAATATTTATAAACTGGAAACGAGACATGGATGATCACCTCAACGCAGGCATAACATAACTCGTAAGCGGCGCACTGAGGATCTCCTGCCGGAGTGCCCCCTCCCACCCCGCAACCGAGCCCTCCCACACCTGAAGCGTTAAGCACCCCAGCAGAAAATCACTGACGCGCATCCACGTCTCGTAGCCCAGGCGCTTGGCGACCTTGAGCATCCGCCCCGCAAACCAAGGGCGACCGTACGGCGTTCGCGCAGTGGGCGAGTACTGCGTGAAATCAGGCGAGGCGGGCTCGAGCTCGAGCTCGAGCTCGAGCTCATCCAGCAGAAAAGCAGAGGGGAGGTCGGGACTGGTGCTGGCCGTGGCCGTCCCGTCGTTGCACTCCAGCATGATCTGCAGCAGGGCCTCGACTGAGCCGCTCATGTTGACCTCGCTTTCGAGCACGGCCTGCTCCAGCGTGCGCAGGAAGGTCTCGCTGTGGGCGATGGACGAGCGGTAGTCCCATAGGCCGGCGTTGAACATGATCAGCGCGACGAGGCGGGCGACGAATTGTTTACGGTTGCCTGAGGCGGTGAATCGGACGCCTGGCGGGGCGGCGAGAATCTGGTATAAGAGGGAGGTAGGTTGGAAGGCAGTGTGGCGCATGGGCGCGATGGCCGGGTTGGTGTGCGATTGCTGGTGGAGGGCGAGTTGCTCGCAGCGTTTGAGGAACTCGATGAATTCGTTGCATTGGTGTTGGAGTTCATCTCTGGGGGAGAAGGTAGGGGCCGTAGAAGGTACACCTTCAAAGTCGGTGGAAAGACATGAGGAAGTTGGTAGGGAAGGTTCGCTCCTTGAAGTCATTGGAGTAACATCAGGCGGTGAAGGAATAGGTGGATTGGGCTCAAAGAAAAAGCTCGGCCCATGAGTTTCATACCCCGACAGAATATAGTCCTGCCAGTTGATCAACATCCCCAGCCGGGTGTTCTCGAATGCGGCAGGCCCACCGCGCGCTCGGATCATCTCCCGAGCAGCTCGCATGTGGATCCAGCTGATCTGCTTGCGTCCGGGACGGGGGTCAAAGTCCTCCAAACCGGCTGCACTGAGGCATGCAATGATGGCCACGTCGCTAATGTCTCCGGGATTTGCAGCCAGATGCTCTCGGAGCATGGAGATGGCCCGGTTACGGTGGACCAGAGTCATCTTCGTTTCCTCCTCATTCCGGACCCAGGCCCATGTGTTGGCCGCGTGGACGAGGATCGTGTTCTGGAAGGCGACAGGACCTTTCATGCCCTCGGGAACAAATACGGCCGTGTACCAATTGTGAGCCTTAGGGGACCGGAAGTGGTTGCCGTAAGAGCAAGCCGGCATCTCGTTGACGTAAAAGTCAAAGAGCCTGCGACCCTCCGCATCCAAATCCATAGGCAAAGTGTTGAAGGGATCAGTTCGCGCTGCGCTGAGGATAGATTTGGGGGAGAGGGTTAGCTCGTAGGGAGTTGTTGGGGCAGAGGACAACGGTGACCGGCTGTCGGACCCGGAGTTGCTGCTCTGGTCACCAGATGCATAGGATTTGGGTAGATCGGAGGTTGAAACAGAGACGAGAGTACTCGCCTTAGTCTGGCCTGCAGCTACTAAGACATGACTCTCCCCAATCCCTGTCGATGAACCCTCCCCTAAGGAATCCTCGCGCATGGATTCAACCTCCTGTCGTGTATCTGTCGACGCGTCCGGGCTCTTTCTCCTCCGGCTCTTGCCACGATCCTTCTTCTCCTTCTCGGTGGTACTCTTTTCCGCACTCTTGTTCCTCGGTCGCCTGCGAACCTTTGGCTGTGATTCCTCTTTTTCCTTCACAGATTCGCCATTCTCATTGTCTGGTTGCGGCTGGCCACCGCGTTTTTGCCGCATATATTCTTGCATCACATGGCGTTTGACTCGGGTGAGATTGCTTCGGCTGTTGTTCGAAGCATCGATGAACGCCCACCGCGTCTGCGAGGATTGTGCCGGTGGCTCATTTGCAGCTGTCTCTTCCGAAACATCGGACATAATCTATTCTGAAACTGATTTCCGCGTGGTAACGCGGATAGAACTCAAGATTGAAGATTGAACTAGATAGCTCTCATAAATGATAAATGACGACGGCGCATCATCAATTGAACACGCTGCGCTTCTTCGATTATGGAATATCCCAAGCAGAAGCAAAAGTCTGTCCAGCCGATCCCAGTATATGCGCGGTTCAGTACTGGAAAGGAGCGTAGCTGAGATGAGACGATACAGTGTAGATATTCTTCAATTATACCACGATCAACTCGCTTTAATGGTCGAGAACGTTCATTGACGCCGATTTTTGAGGTTGATTGTTGATGATAAGGCGGGGTGTTAATGGCCGGGATCGCGACAGGTGGTGGTCAAGAAAGTCTCCAGACTCCAAAAGACTGGAAACTAGCTGAGCAGTCCACTGGCCAAAACGAAGAACACTGGGAATTTCAGAAAAAAAAAAAGCGAAACCTGGATTAAATTCTATGCAAGAATTGAAAGCGCACTCGACATCAGAAAAGCGACAAGTGGACGGTCAGCGCATAAAGACAGCGACGGAGAGTATCGACTTTGCGGTGGTTTGGTTCAGCTTCAAGCCCAACGTCTCAATTCTTGGGACTGTTCCCCACAGTACAAAGTTGTCAGATTGGAATCTCGAATCAAATGGATCGCGGAACTGACGAACAATGGTCCTTAGTTATCGATCGGCCGGTCCAGTCCCAGTCCCAGTCCTCAATTTTGACTTCTGAGCATCGCCCACCGGCCTAGTCCCGGTATATGAGGGGAGTTAAGGTGGGGATGGACCAGCAGACAGAGAGACTCCAGATTCGAGAGTCGAGACTTAAGAGAAGAGAGTAGACTGGAGACGAGCTGAATCCTGAGGAAAGTCAAATGCCTTTCTGACGATCTCCACCTTATCGCTCCATTTAGTCTTACTCGTCAGTCGGAACTCCTTAGCCGTGCGAAATTGGACTAGTTGTTGTGCTGCCGGTGGCTTAGCATCGCCCCCGAAGTCTCTTTATCGGCGTTTCAACTTTAATGAGAATGGTTCAAGAACCGAGAACCGAGACCCTGGCAGGAGTGAGAACGCTGATCCGTATATTTGATCAAGGACTTCACATTGACCTTGAATTCTGTGACAGTTCAATGGGTCATTCCGAAGACACACCTTGTCACCGTGCGCTAGTCCAGATCCTACTCTTCATCTGTGTTACTATTATTCCGGCCAAGACAAAGTAAACATGATGAGATTGGCATGTTTCACTTCATGATCCTGGCGTTCTGCCTGGTACAGAACTAGCCAGGAAAGGAGATGAGCAATTGGTATTATTTGGTCATCAAGATCTCTGTACTGCATAGGCTCTCGACGATGGACAATGCTCATCAATTTCCTAACCTTGTTACGGCAGGCAGGACTGGCCGACTGCGTCTACATACGACGGCGTGCTGAGTGTAACCATAATTGCCATAGATAGGTACTGACCCCGTACCTCGACCTTACCTACAGACACTGGCTGGACAAAATTTGATTCGGACGTCGAATGGTAGTCACTGCCCTCTCAGTTGCTCCATATCCTGTGAACCAAGTTTCCAGTTCAGGAGTCTGAAGCCTTGTAATCGCATCATAGACTGACTGGGATCTTACTCTCCCTATGCAGCTTTGGACTGAACTCATCCTTCAGAAGGATGGATTCAGCTGTGCTGTCATCCATGAAATGTAGTCAGCCTGCGCTGTCACAGCTGACCTTAGGTAAGAAACGAGGATCAGCCATAATAATCCCTTCTCAGATTGTTGAATTCTCCAATTGTAGAACAAGCACTGAAAGTAAGAAAGACATAATAGTTAATACCCTATTTAAGACCCTGCTATCACGTGATTAGCCTTAGAAGGGAAGTGTGTCACATGACATTAAGACCATGGCGGAGATAATCTCACCGCCTTCAGTAAGTCCGGCTGCCGACTGCCAAATCCGTGAATTGCGATCTTGCTCGCCGCGTCGCCGGTCGCGCAGTTGATGGCATGCGATCTTACGCTCCCTGAGATTCTGAGAGATCCTGCTAATACAAGTGAATGAAGCATGCTTCTTGAACTACTTTGAATACCTCTTGCTCCATCACATTAATATTTGCTGTCGTTCCAGCGTTGTGGGAGGCATCCGGTCCGCATTCATCGTGAAACTGGTCGCTATCCTTGTTCAGCAAAACGACTGTTCAGAAAGGCTCAACTCGCGCCATCCCTCGACGACTGAGTGCGCTACTATAGCGCCTTTGAGTTGCTGTCCTTCTGGACTTTTACCAAGAGAAGTGCCTTACCAGGATGCTATCACCTTCACGGGCGAGATCGATATTCACCATTTAGCCTTCAGCTGCAAACTTTCTCTTTGGGACAATTTCGGTGGGGATTTGTCGCATCGGCTCGTATACATGGTCCAGACCCCTTTCCAATACTTTTGCCCTCATTTAACACGACATCATTCTTTTCAGCCGTGTGCAAAGATCTCACATTGCAATGGCTGGAGACGCGACCGCGCCTGCGGAGCCCAGCCAGGTCAACGGCTCAATAGCTCTCGACCCATCCACCACAAATCCTTACGAGACAAATCCAGAATTGATTCCGCCGACCGATCCATTTCTTTCTCGAAGCCCGCAATACGGCCGCTATGCCCCGCATGTCGATGACTTCAAACCCCGCTACGATGGTTGGTACCAGGCGGAACCGGAAGCCAGTTCGTATTGGGAGGAGATAGTGCGAACATCCTGCACTCCCGAAAATTCCCTGAATGTGCCTGGGACAAGGGAGGTATACGCTGCTGGCAGCGTTCTAATCAAAGTCGATCAGGAACCTGCGGCTGGTGCGGCTGCGGAACGATATTCAAACGTTAATACGAACGAGTTGAGTGCTGCTAGAAGGGCGCAGGATGCTCTTCAACAACTCGGGGTTGCGATACCAATCATATACTTTTGTGGCACAGTTGACGGAAAGAATGTCACCGTGGAGTCTAGAATTCCCGGTGTGTCCTTGGAGGTTGCCTGGAAGTATCTCACGATTGAACAAATTGGCGCTTTTAAACAACAATGCCGTCGCATTATTCAGCGCCTTGCAATCGTCGAGCCTGCACCGGATTCTGCGTCGTATGTCTGCGGCGAACTCAACGCTCAATCACCTTCAGGCGTCGAGGACTCCGAAAGGGACATATTGTTTCAAGATAGAAAGGGGACGGAGCAGCTCTACCTGGTTCACAACGATATGATCCGGTCGAATATCGTGGTCAAGGATGGCCGGATCGTTGGCATTCTCGGCTGGCGACAATGTGGGTTCTTTGGCTTTGAGAGAGCAAAGCAGATACATCGTCAGTTTCGGATACCGGAGCGTTCCGTCATTGACAATGGCGGGGTCAGCGTAACACAGGTCTGGGCCGACCTCTATGACGATATTCCAGACGTTGGTGGGACGAACGGACTCCCAGATCATCATACTACAGCTGCACCTGAGGTGAAAATTGAGCCTCTGCAGCCGTCGTTGGACAAGTATCCCCCAAGCAACGAAACCGAGATCCTGCCCGCTCTGGCACAACTTGACGGCACCCTTTTGCCCGAAGAACATCCGACGCCGAGGAAAATCGCTGATCTGAAGAGCGAGTTGGCCTCAAGAGCATCATCGACAGATCGGTCATCGCCGTCTGGTTCCACCAAGGCAGCCGGGAGAAGAAAGTCGGGCCCCGGTGCATCGAAGAAAGGGACAGCCAAGAAACAAGCGACAAAGAAACGCAAAATAGACGAACTTGCGAGCGAAGATGCGGAGAGCCGTCGCTCCAACACCCCTTCTTCGACACGCGCCAGCAAGACGCCCGGAATCAAGAAGCAGGGATCCGTATCTGTCGCCGGCTCTCCGGCTCCCGAGGGCAAGAAAAGGAAGAAGAATGCCAAGAAGGCGAAAGTAGAGAAACAGGAGGAGGAGGAAGAACCAGAAGAAGATTCATCGGAGGATGACGGGATTTTCTGCATCTGTCGCAAGGGTGATGATCATACGTGGATGATTGCATGCGACGGGGGATGCGATGATTGGTTTCATGGAAAATGCATCAACATTGATCCCAAGGATGCGGACTTGATAGACAAATACATCTGTGAGTCTCGGCTTAGGCAGCTTGTGCTCTGAAGTGAACTAACGCACATCAGGCCCGAATTGCAAGGCGGAGGGCAAAGGATGGACGACGTGGAAACCGATGTGTCGACTAAGGGGTTGTCGCAAACCCGCTCGCGTGACAGGAAAGAACCCCAGTAAGTATTGCTCTGACGAGCACGGCCGGGAGTTCATGCGTCGACGGATCCAGCAACTCAACAGAACCCCGACGATCCTGCCAAGAAAGAATGGGAGGAGCTTGGTAGCAGAGGAGGTGTTCTTACAACTGGTGATCTCCACGCAGTCGTCATGGCCGTCTCCTCTGCGGAGGAGTTTCGTAAACTTGGAGAGCGCATTATTTCGCCGCCGCCAGACGAGGAGGACCCTGTGACAGGAGCAAGGTCGAGCAAGAAGCTGGGCTTGGACGTGGATCCCGAGGGCCTGACCTATTCTCACGACGAGGCATCTAAACTTGAGCAATTGCGCAAACAAAGAGATGAACTTCTTCACCGGCGCGACATGCTCAGCACGCGTTCCACGTTCGTGGCACTCATCCGTCAGCGATCAAAGAGCATTGTCGAGAAGCTGAAGCAAACAGATCCAAAGGGTGGATGGAAGGATATCTGTGGATTCGATACACGCCTCGCGTGGTCAGACGAGGAATTCGATGATTGGAGGCTGTCCAAGCTCGGAGCCAAAGCACTCGAGGAGGGCACCCCAGAAGCACTTGCTTCCAGCTATCCGGACGCTGCTGATGCCGATGGGGACACGGCCATGAATGGCACCAAGACGGAGGACGAGGACGAGGACGAGTTGGCCAAGTTGTCCCGTGGAGTGTGTACGAAGAAGCGTTGCGAGAGACACAAGCAATGGGTCAAGGTTCACCAGTCCGAACTTCTCTTCGAGGAGAACAAGCTGAAGGAGGACCTTGCCACATGCGAGAAAGAAGCCCAGAATGTCGTCGAAAGGGCCGTCCTTCGAATGTGGGCTGAAAAGGAAAATGCTCAGAATGGCGGCGAGTGAGTTTGTTTCTCGCCGCACCCTGTTTGAAGACAGGTTACAGAATTCGCATACCCGCTACGAGTAAGTCGCTTGGTGGTTGATTGATACCCCTTTTGCGCAAGAAGCTGGGACGGAATATGGAGTTGGTCCGTTTTCTAGGAATCCAGGGCTGCAAGTGGCCTAAAGGAGAATCCTGCATATCGTTGGCGTATGGATGGTACATCATGATTTCAGGCCGGGAAAAGTGTATGACCTAAGGTATACTTGATAGATATTGTACGATAGAGCGGAATCACATACGGCCGATATGGCAAAAGCCAACTGGGACCCTATCAAACCTTCATGGAGTTCCCGTCCCAAATACACCACCTTCCCACCCCTCTCCCACTCGATCCTTGATAATCTCAATAACGCAATCCTCCTTCACCATCGAAACCAGAACGTGCGTATCAATACCCTGATCCAACGTCCTCATCAACAAACTCGGCAACAGCGGCGTCGACGTCTCCGCATGAAACATAGAGTAAACGCCCTCATCCTCGACCGACGCCCGAAAATCCCCTCGCGAACCTTGCTGCCTTTCACCCCCAACCCCAGCGTGAAAGCCAGGCGCAGGCCCAAGTCCACGCGTATTAACAAGCATCACAGCAAGATGTGAGCCATGCGCCCTTGAAAGCTGCGTCAGCGTTCTCAGCGCGGCAGTCAGCGCCGCAGCCCCCTTCACGGGGTTCGAGGCGCGGATGATGTCCTCGGTTAGTGTGTCGAGGCCTGCGATGAGGAGGAGAGTGCGTGTGCGAGTGCGCTGGCTCTCGCGCTCATGCTCCCCTGACTTTCCCCCAGACACTGGGGCTGATTGCAGGGCCTCCGCGACTTGGCTGATGGCTTGCACTGCGGCGCGGAAGTCGAAGACGGGGAGGAGCTGGACGTGGTCTAGGAGGGCTATTGCTTCGTTGCGGGTGAGGGGTGCTGTTGCAGGTGAAGCGAGGAGAGAAGCCAGGAGTTGTTTTGGGGAGAAGGGGTCGAAGGTTGGTGGGTGGATTATGAAGGCTTTTGGTTGTGGGGAGGGTGGTGTGTTGCGTAGATGCTTTGCGAGGAGGCAGCGGGGGAGCTGTGGGTGTTAGCTGCGTTGCCCATTTGACTGGAGAGACAGAGGGGTTGTGTATGCTTCAGGATGATTCGCGTGAGATGACTTTCTAGGGTTGTGTATACAGATATGTGCCTGATATGATTTGCTATTCTGCAGGTCCTATTGAGAGATTCCAGCTTACCTGGCCGATGAGATCATGGTCATCATCTTCTTGAGCTCTCTGCTTCAGTTTCGAAAATCCGATTACTCTGCCACAGCGGAAAACGCTGGATGGGCCTTCGAATGCCTCTTCGATGTCCTTTCTTAGTTTCCAGATGGATGATTGCTCTGGCTCATCGGGTTGCTCTGGTATCCTAGCTGTCGTGGTATGACTGGATAGTAGTGTGTGAGCCAGAATTGGATAGGCTGGTTCAGCAGCGTAGGCATTGCCCGATGAAGACATTTTGACATGAATATAGTACAAGAGCTGCGGTGCCCTGTCGTTAAGTGCTGGTAGTAATAACTCGACATATGACCATGAAAAATATTGCGCAACTATGGCTCTGGCATGAACAGATCCATCGCAGGTTCAGGACCCAAGCCGGAGCGGGTGTGGCATGTTATTCAGGTGAGCATTACTGTGAGCATTGCTTTATTGAACATCTTAACTTCTGGCCTTGGATAACGGGATTACGGTGTGGGATAAAGTTCTTGATGCCTGAGGCTCCGATATCAATGATATGGGAATATGCAACTATAATCCAAACCGCTACGCATAAGTAAATCGCCTATAGACTGACTCGGTCACATTTCGCTCCTCTGACCCAATTCCCATGTCCGTCATGGGCCCATTCACTGTCACCCAGAACATCTGCTAATATAGTAGAGAGTTCCGGTCGAAGGGCATCAGACTCGTAGTCACATGCGCCGAAATGTACAAGACTTTTGGTACCCAAGTCCCGAACTGCATGTGCAACTAAAGTATAGCCCGTCGCAAGCTCCATCCACGGATCGCTTGGATCCATAGATCCCCTCTGTTCCAACTCTGTGGCCTTGTCGTTCAGGCATGGTGCCAGTCGTACACTGAGCGAGCGGAGACTCGTCATCAACTTCACGGAATCCAGAACCAGTTTGACGTGGTTGTAGAATGGAAAAACCGCAGCGTAATGGAATGCTGTCAACTTGTTGAGCGAGAGAGACAAAGAGACCCTCTCTGGATGGGATCGGGACAACGAGCCCCATTCACTGAACACGGAAGGGACCTGGAAGAGAAAATACTCATAATGGTTATATGCCTTCAAAGACGAGGACTCGTTAAACTGCAGCGATGACCACTCTCGCGCTGCTAGAAGACCCGAGCACGTCTCGACGCGGGAGACCGGAGGTGGTGCGACCTGCCGTTCTGTCCTCTCCAATTGCAGTTCTTGCAGCGAGATCTGAAAAGCCCAGTTATGTCCATCCATAATCCTGGTTCCTAGCGTCGCTGCGATAAACGACGGCGGCGCCATGAGAGTGATACGCAGAGGGTCGAGATGGTGCAGAATCCTACGCCACCATGAGGGGTCGTCCTGAGGATCTGAACCGATATTTCCCCGCGCCAGTATGGACGTCACGCTTCGACACAGGTTCCATTTCTGGACGAACTGTAGAAAGCTTTCTCCCTCACTGATATCAAAGCAGACATATGCGAACAACCGCGGCCGCGTGACCTCCAAGAAGCGAGAGGAGGTTCGCGATAGGTTTTTGAGGTCACGGGTGGCAGATTTGGCTATACGGACGCACGGCGGCTGGTCGAAACGAGACCACGAAGGAGGATCAGTAGCAAGATTGGACAGTATTTGATCAATTAGCTCATTCGGTAGCGACTCAAACGGCGAAGTCTCCGCGGACATTGTAGCAATGATTGATGGTCCGATTTGCTGACTATGGAGTTAGCGTTAGCGCTCAGTGGCCTCAATGAGCTTCACATGACGACGGATCCCGCAACTTGCGTGAAACTGTCATATCCCCAGATCGGATTGGATGAAAGAGATGTCAGGCCAGTGTAGCTAGATGGATTGTCGATAGTCGATAGTCGATAGTCGATTGTTTCTATTCGAGTGAACTGTTGGAGGCGGTGAGAGTGGAGATGACAAACAGTCTTTCGGGAAGACAAAAGGACCAAGTGCCGAGAGATCCCCACTTACATACCACAAGTACAACTACCATCCTCTCTCGCCATGATAACTACTGGATGGAAAGGTCGATCTTCTGAGTCTGTCCTCATGAAGTCGGACTTCATCAGCCGGAACTCCCCACTTTCCAATTATTAGCAGAATATCCTAGTCGTGTGCGATATATCCGGACTCTCCTATCTGCTACGTGCAGACTCCCCTCAGCAATCGGTAAAACCCCTTTGACTGTGGCTTTGTGGAGCCTGTCTCCGCAATGCTTGAGATGGGAGGAACTAGGAAGAGAATTTACACTTTACCAATACTCACACGAAGAGTACGGGAATATCTCGGCCAGGTTATACATGAGCTATGCCTTGCTTTATGATCACTTGATATAGAAGGAAAAACTGGAGAGCTTCATGCGCCCCACCACCTCACGCTTGACTCCTTGAGTGGGATTCATGTACTTCCATAGAACCTATTCCTTTGGCTGCAATGAAACCTCATTCTTTTCAGCGACAACGGGCTCTGACCTTCAAGATGTGGAGAGGCACAACATGTGGGGCTGAGAATCGTGAGGTGGATGTCATCGGCACGCCTGAGCATGACTGAAGAACCGGCAAATTGAAAACATGGAATCGTCTTTGCATGAGCCCCTGTGCCTGGGAGGGGGTTAATTCGCCCCCTCAACTTTCTGTCACCGAGAGTAAAGGATTTGAACTCTTTCTTTCCTCCAAACATCATTGTTCTTGTTGCTCTTCGTCTCAGTTAAGCTCATAGTTCTGGTGGCGACGGCAAACGCTCAGTAAGATTCTGTATACTCGCCATGGCTCAGATTCACCGTAACCCACCCTTCCGTGCCGAGCACCTTGGCTCTCTCCTCCGGACTGAGGAGCTCCTGAAAGTCAAGGCAGCCTTCGAGAATGGACAGGCTTCTGCGGCCGAGCTCAAGGCTGTCGAGGACAGGGACATCAAGGACATTGTCGAGACCCAGAAGAAGCTCGGCTATCCCGCTCTTTCTGATGGAGAATACTGCAGACACAGTAAGAGTCCACTGGCTTGCGGACGTTCACCTGGAGATTAAACTGACCCGATTTCCCATGCAGTGTTCTGGGGCAGTTTCTTCCCTGGTCTCGAGGGCTTCGAGGAGGTTACCGAGTTTGACTCCGATATCTTCCGCACCTATGCTCCTGATGTTGCTGCATTCCTGGAAGCGGGCCACAAGCCTGGTGAGACTGTCATCTGTACTGGCAAGATCAAGCACGTTGGCAGCACATACGTCGACCAGTTCAAGCACCTGGCTAGCCTGGTGGCGCCTGAGGAGGTCAAGAATGTGAAGCTCACCCTCGCTGCTCCCAACTGGTACCACCTTCGGTACAAGAACGGCAAGGCTTTCCCCAAGGATGTGTACAGCACCGAGGACGAGTACCTGAGCGATATCGCCAAAGCCTACCAGGAGGAACTGCAGATCCTGTACGATGCCGGCTGCAGAAACGTCCAGTTCGACGACCCCAACCTTGCTTGTAAGATCCCTGGATATCACATGTCTTTGACTGCACAGGAGACGTACTAACCCCCAGACATCAGACTTCTGCTCGGAGAAGATGCTAGAGGGCTGGAAGGCCGATCCTCTGAACACCGCCACTGCCGATGAGACGTTCGACAAGTACGTCAAGCAATACAACGAATTGCTGTCCAAGCGTCCTGCCGATTTCCACGTCGGTGTTCACATCTGTCGCGGTAACTTCGTTGGTAGCCGTCACTTCTCCGAGGGTGGCTATGACCGCATCGCTACCAAGCTCTTCAAGGAGCTCAACGTCGACACATACTACCTCGAGTACGACACTCCCCGTGCCGGTGGGTTCGAGCCTCTGAAGGAGCTGCCTCGCCACAAGAACGTCATCTTGGGCGTTGTGACCAGCAAGTTCGCCAAGCTCGAGGACAAGGAGGAGATGAAGAAGCGCGTCTACGACGCCGCCAAGTTCATTGCCGAGGGCAACAACATTACTGTTGAAGAGGCCCTCAAACAAGTTGGCGTCAGCCCCCAGTGTGGGTTTGCCAGTCACCGTGAGGGTAACGCGATTGACTGGGATGGCATGATCAACAAGCTGAAGCTTGTCCGCGAAATTGCTAACGATATCTGGCCCGGTGAGCTGTGAAGCACGACCGTCAAATGATATTTGGGGAATGGGAATGCTGCGGATGTCTTCCCTTCATTGGTCTATTTTCAACAATGAGACCCATACAGGGAGGCATAGTTGAGGATGACGGTCCAAACGATGTAATGAGTAACGAGAATACCACTTAACGTATGATTCTTGTATATAAAAAAGTTATATTAACACGATAGCATGATTAACGCTCTTCAGAAGTCTAACAATGTCGTTGAACGAATGATTCATCTTAGTCAACCCGGAGAAAGGTGGCTACTAAGTACCTTGGGGCTTTAATATATCCGCATGAGATGCTAACTCCATGTAGCCAAGCTCTTAGTTCTAGTTACGTTGCATTTAGAGTATCAGCCAAGACGCGAGATATATTGTGTCAGCACTGCAGCCCGTACTTAAGCCATTGCCGGTATATTACGTTTAGCTACACTGCCTCGGTCAAGCTCGGATCTGTACATGAAAAGAAAACAAGCAGATCCATGCGGCCAGGTAGGCAACGTACCTTATACAGCAATAAACTACGGCTTACTGCAGCTTATCTCAAGCATACAACAAAGCAAAGTATTCAGACAATCCATTCATTCTACTCCATATCTGCCTGGGCCAGAAAAACCAAGTGATCATTCATCGACCAGAAACACACCATTGCCGTCCCCCCTCTCCCTCGTCTATCCAGCTGTCCTCGACCTCCAACCATCTTACTCTTCAGGCCCCAAGATATTCGACTCCTTGATAGCCGACTGCTTATGCGTACGCGCATTCTCAATCTATCTCCCCAGTTAGGTCCGCCGCAAAACACCGAATGAAGTAGTAACTCACCGTGTACCGTGGCTCCTCGTCCGAAGCAGCTACATTGCGGCCCGTCATCTGAGTGGGCTGAGTGGCAACCTCACGGATGATGCCGACAGCCTCGGACGTCTTAGACTCGGGGCCTGTCGGAATGAGCTTAACTATCGCTATCTTCCTCCCTTTGAGTTGGGTGAAGTGAGGAAGGACATACCTCCGACAGGCTTATAGCGGACTTTTTCTCCTTTTCTGTAGTCGGGCATTGTGACCGGTGGAGTTGCTGTAGCTTAGATGCTTGTTTGTGCTTGGCTTGACTTGACTTATACCGATAATCACTGAATCAGAGATGTAATCCAAATTTCCAAAACAAGAGAAACTTTTCGAGCCGGCGGAGCTCGAGTCCAGCGTGCTATTTATGTGTCGTGTGGCCATTTTGTTTTCTGTGGATGTCAAGTCCGTTGGGCCACCTTTCTGCGTCAGTCTGACATGTTTCTGATCCTAGTCAAGTGGACGTGCGATCCTGAGAGAATTGATCTGTTGCCCAAGTCAACATATCTGATGTCTGCAGCATTGTTTGAGGAAGAATGTTGATGCGTTGCTTGCATCCTACGGATCGACGTAATTTTGACGATGCATTGAATCATCCGGAATGATCCACGCAATCTTACCGACCGGTTGGCAGCTTTACTCCGTGTCCCTTGGTGAACCCTGTTGGTGGATCGAACTTCCGTCATGCTGAACGTGCGAGCAGGCTGCGGATGGGATTCCCAGGTGGGATGATCAATGATTGAGTGCTGGCAGGTCCGATGCCAAAGCCGATATTGCTTCAAGATCGTCTTCAGTGAAGGTGAGAGAACAGATCAAGTGAAAAAAGTGGGAAAAAATAGCTCATGCTAGGTCCATTGTATGTGCTGGTCCAATCTGCCTTCTATTTGGGTTCTTTCTACACAGAAAGTCACAGAAACAGCTGTATTCGACAAGAATGGCGCTTGAACAGTCAGAGTTACAAAGGACGACAGGAGAATTATTAGTAAAAGGGTATGTATGAATGACCCGCACAGAAACAGAGGGGGATATCATGGAGGAAAAGGAAATAGAAGAGCGAAAATGGAAGACGGAAAAAAGAAACCATGCGGCACATAAGAGCGGAAGTCGGAATGCTGCGTCGTCTGTCATCAAAACGGACATGAAACGAAGAAATCTTAAAACCAATTGACGAGGGGGCATGTTGTACACGAGGCCGCGTGAAGATACCTCTGGCTACGGCACGATCTGGTGGACGCGGGACATGAAAATTACTTCTGAGGCTGAGTCTTAACGTTGTTTGAAAGCCAGGCCTGCAGAAACATTAGCTATTTGCCGGATCGAGCAGTTTGACATTGGAACGAAGCCACTTACAAGTCCCTCAAAGATTCCAGTACCCTCCGTAGCAACACTGGGCGCCACATACCACAGCTTGTCCTTCAACTTATTGAGCTGCAATGCGTTGGTGACCTCCTCCGGGCTCAAATCTGCAAGATAGAGATCGAATCAGCGTCAATCCTGGTTAATCAGTTTTGTGGAAACCTACGGCCGGGAACATCCTGCTTGTTCGCAAACACAAGCAACAGAGCGTCCTTCATTTCGCGATCGTTGATGATCTTATGAAGCTCCGAACGAGCTTCTTCCATACGGGCCGTGTCGCTCGAGTCGACGACGAAGATCAGACCTTGGGTGCCTGCGATTTACAGAATATCAGCAAGGACCCTAGTGATATTGCACCAAACATGATGTTTCATACCAGAGTAGTAGTGTCTCCACAAAGGCCGTATCTTGTCCTGTCCACCAACATCCCAGACGTTGAATTTGACATTCTTGTAGGTCACGCTCTCAACGTTGAAACCGACAGTAGGAATAGTGGTGACATCCTGATTCGTGAGCTTTAGCTTATAGAGGATAGCTGTGGTAGAGACGCCGGTTAGTTTCCAAGCAATTACTTCGTCTTCCTCGTTACCAAAACTCACTGGTCTTTCCGGCAGCATCCAAACCCAGCATCAGAATCCGCATTTCCTTCGTGCCGAATATCTTCCCCAGCATCTTCGAAACTTGTCCACCCATGTTGACTAGTGTACGGCGACTGTCGGAGTCGCGACCAACAGAGCAGTTGATAACAGGGTTCCTTGACTGTACGTCTCAAAGCCGGACTTGACTCGGTCGCAATCCAACGCGACAGTCTGCACTTTCAATTGAGGTGAGCGGAGAGGGGAAAGAGGTAGAAACCGTCGAGACCCTGAGCGTCTTCGAGTCAATTGGGTTCTCCTGTCAAAACAATGCAGAAAGTTAATATGAGATCTGCAGAAGAGACGCAAGGGAAACAAGACAGGCACATGGGGTATTGGGAAATGGAGAATTGCGTACCTTGCTTGTGAGTACCGAGAGGGGGGTAGGAAAAAGCAGGTCACCTGTGCTGTTTCAAACGTGGCAGCAGAGAACGAGGAGTGAGAATAAGATTGTAAGAGTCAATTTGACTTTTGGAGACAAAAAGCCCGACGGTCCACAGAAAGACCGGCGCTGTTTTGCTTGAGGGCTAGGCTAGATAGCTAGCTAGTTGGATAAGTTGCTAGTCAACTCCTAATAGTATAATGAATAATGGATAATCTCCTTTCTCCTGGACCCAATTTCCCGTGTTGACCCTGTAACGAACTTATTCATAGGACCATAGTCCATAGGTACCTGATGAGAGGGGCCATAAAAGGGGTTGGCCATGACTAAGCAGCTCTCCCCCACGAGTCAGAGTCAGCCAAGCAATTCAATTCAAGCGTTTCAGCTTACCCCAGAGCTTTGATAAGAGCTGACAGGGGTCTTTCATTGTTGTCGAATACTTATATACGCATTTTCCACGATCCTTTGAGATGGTCCGTTCATCTGTCATGGGAGCTCTTCCGTCGGAACCATCCATGGATCAGACAATGAGCGAACAGGAATTTGTGATATCCTCCGCCCTGATTAATGGACTGATTTCGCCTCTTGCGGAGCTAAGTGATGCGCCATGGTCCCGGAAGCAACCCAACTTCAGGTGACGGGAATCAAGCAAGATGTAGATATACCGCGTGGATCAGTCTCTCCAATGACTGCGCTGACATGAAGGATGGATTATCGTGAATACCCCAAGCTCACATGGAACCTGCGGCTAAAAACAGCATCCGGTTGTTCCTCAGGGTATAGGTACGTCATGGTCGGAACCGGTGAGGTCACCAACTGGTCTGTTACACAGACGGATATAACATCGGTCATACACGCCACTTCAGCAGTCCATATCTGAGGATTTTCTTTATTTCAACGAGTCAATGCCATTTTATACTCCTGCTCTTTATAGATAATCTATTACCCCATTAGCTGCGCAAACATCATGGCTGGCGACGATAAGCTGTCTTTCCGACGGCGGTCATCTGTGCACCAGCAGCGTCGTCTTTCTGTCGATTTCAAGAAGAATTCGTGGGCTGCGCCTCCATCTGGGGTATGAATGGTTGAATTCAGACAGGTGCCAATTCTGGAGTTCTAACTTCGATTAGACCGTCTATGCCGGCCTGTCGGTATTATTTACCGATGACGGACATGCTACCATCGCCCTGGCCATTCGTGACGCAACGTACCTCCTCGAATTCATTCAAGAGAAAGTCCCTCGAAAAGACGATAAGCCTCTTTTTCAAGCGATCAGCGACTTCGTCGTGCACCAGTTGCAGAATTTCAGTGAGAAACACCTCGAAAAGTTCATCGGATTGGCAATGCCACAGCATCTCGCAGAGGAATGCCCGGGTCTCTGTTCGCGCCTATGGGCTGAGCTGGACGTCATCCCACTGGTGCTTCCGGAGGAGAAGCGGAAAGAGAACGAGCCGTCCAAGCAGCCTCTTCCCACCTATCCAGGCTGGGAGACCAGATCGCTTGATGAACAAGCGGAGTCTATGGGACGGAAATGTGTCAGGTGAGGAAAACCACTGCCTGTGTACTGTTGCATGTCAGTATACTTACTTCACGCCCAGACTGTTTGGCCCCGAAAACATCCCGTTGCTGCAAGTCGGTTTCCTTGGTTTGGTCGAGGTCGATACGGCCTTCCACGTACGCTTGACCGATCTGGACGATTTCAAGGCGACGGTCCGACCTCGCACATGGAATGCTGTCGAGCATTGGGCTTCCGACCTTAAGCAAAGGAATATCAAGATAGCCTTCTTCAGTGCCACCCCTCAAGGCGGAGGTGTCGCCCTCATGAGGCATGCTCTTGTGAGATTTTCCTATTCATTAGGAACTGATATTAAATGGTGAGTGATCGTCAACTTTGGAGCCACCGTACCGACTACAGAAATAGCTGACATTGGGTCCAAGGTACGTACCGAAACCACGACCAGGTGTCTTCCGTATTACGAAGACGAACCACAACATTCTGCAAGGTGTCTCAAACCCTGGAGAGCGCTGCACAGAGGAGGACTGGGCGGGGGTCACGGACTGGATCCAAGAGAACGCCCGGAGATACTGGTTGATTCCTGGAGGACCGTTGCGGGCTCCGTCCGAAGGAGGTGCAGATATAATTATCATGGACGACCCCCAGATGCCAGCATTGATTCCTATCGCGAAGGAAATGGCGCCGGATAGACCCGTCATTTTCCGGAGCCACATCCAGATCCGGAGCGACCTGATTGCCAAACCGGACACTCCTCAGGCGGAAGCATGGGGCCGGATGTGGGGACTGATCAAGCAGGCCGACCTGTTCATCTCTCACCCGGTGAGCTCGTTCGTACCGAAGAACGTGCCTAAAGAGATGGTGGGTTATATGGGAGCGTCTACAGATTGGTAAGTTTTTTTAGCGTTTGTCAAATAAGAGCAAACGACTGACACTTCGTTGTAGGCTAGATGGCCTGAATAAGAACATGCGGGACTGGGATATGGCATATTACGGTCGTGTTTTCAATGCCGCTTGCAGAAACTCGGGCATGCCTCTGATAAATGTCCCCGAAGGTGAGACGGTCTTTTCCTTCGGGCAAGTTGAAACCTTTGGCACTGACAATGACAGACGAGTACATTGTCCAAATCGCCCGCTTTGACCCCTCCAAGGGCATCTTTGATGTTGTGGAATCCTACGAGAAATTCTACAATCGTCTCACCGCTGCATTGCCTGACAAGAAGCCTCCGAAGTTGTTGATTTGCGGACACGGCTCGATCGATGACCCTGATGGTTCGCTCATTTACGATGCCGTTGTGTCTCACATTGAGCATAATATCCCCTACTTGA